ATAGACCACTGCAATGGACACTCCAACATGCCAAAAAGGAAAACGACGTAGGGTAGAGGTATGTAGCAGTATTTTTCAAACAAAAGACATCCTTAAATGACAAAAAGGCACGTAGGGCTCAGCCAAATGGTACCATAATGGCGTCGAAACGTGTGGAAACAGGCTCTTTCTCTGAAACCCGCCCCATTCCCCATCGGTTTCTTTATATTCTGCTAACCCTTCCCCTCCCTGACCTGTTTCCTTGATTGCCTTCTGAGCTCCTGATGAGACAAGGCTTTCAACCTTATGTTTAGATAGGATGTTTTTCGTTTTTAAAGATGAGCTCATCATATCTTATTTTTCATATACACCTGGGTAGCATAAAATAACAATAGTAGACATATTATCATAGGTAGGTCACTCATTTTTACAGCTATCACCAGAGGAAGAAAAAGAAATCAGATCGTGCCTGGCGGCCATAGAAATGGAAGAGAGAAGAAAAGAAATAGAGGGAAAAGAGGAAAAATTGCGGATGAGGGAAGAAGAATTAAAACTAAAAGAAAGAAAAAGCGAATTAGAGAAAAAAGAAAAAGATTTAAAGGAGAAAGAAGAGAAACTTAAAGAGAAAGCAAATGAGTTAAAGAAAACCACAATGGAAGCCAAACGGTTGGCTGCCCAGCTCCAGTTTATGGCCGGGCAGCTTGACCGTTTGGCAAACAACGTGCTTTCAGAAATGACAAAATGAAGAATTATTTTCGCCGGACATTAAAGAAATTTTTTTAGACCGTCAGGTGTAAGTTGATTTATTGCATAATTATTTTCTTTATTTCACTACAACCATAAAAAACAAAAATTTTTTTTTTTTGTGTAATGATTAATATATTTTATGTCTAAGAGAAATTTTGCACATCTTGTAAGACCAACATATATTTTTCAAAAAAATACAAAGCCCAAGTGCTGTATATTTTTTGCTGTAGTAAATAAGAAATCCGTGTGATCTCTTGTGAAGGAAAAGTTCTCCTCTTATTGCAAGGTATGTGCCCCATCGCTGTCGTGCTCCACTTCCTCTGTTACCCCTGTCTTTAATCAATCGCTCCTCTCTTTATCTATCACTCGAATCTTGGTCGATAAATCCCCTTTCCTATAACAGCAATCCTATATCTTGAAGCATTGGTTTTCCTCGACATCCCTCTTGCCCCCTTTTCTTGCACAGGCAACCTAATTAAAATCAGTAAATAATGTCATTACAGGTCCATAATACATAAATTAATACATAAATTATTTCCCCTTATTCTCGTAAGTTACAAATTAACAAATAATGCATCCCTCTAATTCCGTCCCTTTTTGCTGAGGCAACTGAATTAGAATTAGAATCAAAAAATGTTAATAAAAGTTCTTATTACCCAGTTCCCTTAAATCCCCTTAATTTAAAAGTTAACAAATAATGCCACCCTGTCCACCACCCCCCAGAAAATAAACTCCTTGTAACCGAACAGTCTGAGATCAGAAAATATAATAAACGCCCAAAAAACCAAACCAAGCCGTGTAAGCAATCTAAAATTGGTTTCTATTCATGCAAAACCAATAAAAAGGGTGCGTAATGTATACTGCAATGAACAACCGTACAGTCTTGCGGCAACAGAGGTTTTTGCTAAGCTGCACCTGTTATTGGCTACCTCGTGCCTACTGGACAGATACCACAAAACTACGCAAGCAGGATGACGGAGCACGGTAAACAAGCCCCCGTAAAATGATGCACTGAACTGTACATTAAAATCACGAAAGCAGGATGTTGAAGTGTTATAAACAAGCCCCTCGCAACTTGGTGAACTGAACTGAACTGTACTTTGTCGCTTAGCTGTTGTTCTTGTTATTATTTATGTTATAAGTTTACACATGAGTTCCTGAGAGAGAAAAAAAAAAAAAAAAAAAAAAAAAAAAAAAAAAACCAATAATAATAAAAATTAATAAATAATTTAAGTTAAATATTATCATTATCATTAGTAAGCGCATATCCATTCAAATCCCCTTCTCCTGCCTTTATGCATCTGCGACACAAATAAAGATGTATTTATAGTTGTGACATTTTCTGAACTCGTGCAATAGTTGGTGAACTTAAGTGTAATTTATGAACTGAGTTGTCCTTACTGAACTATATTGTCTTTATTGAACTATAAAAACAAACAAAAGGACTGTATCAAAGTTCAAGAAAAGAAAAAGAAAGTTGTTGTCTTGAGTTCCCGTCCTTGACAAAACGTGAAATTAGACACTCTCACGCTGTAAGTCGTGCAACGACGGCTAAGATATGAAACAAAAGCGTGATGGACGTGCCAAGTTGTTGTTTTGCTAATAAGTTGCCGCTCTCGTTGCCGTCGCCGTCGTCGTCATTGCTTAAGCTCCTTAATGCCGACATAAAAAATACTGCGGTCTGTTATGACTGCCACATATAGTGGCAAGGAGACCTGTCCAATATGGGACAATCTATTTAGAAGACCGGTGTGGGCATAGTTAGTAGAGGAGACTGGTTATGAAAGCCGGCAAACATCAAAGTTGAAAACAATGGTGCTACAGTTTATATTGGAAGCAACAGGAGGGCATTTTGTATACGCATGCGTCAATATGGGCTGTTGAAGGGCCACAGCTGAGACATTTTCTGTGAATTGTTTACATTCAGTACCAGCATTTGCAGGCTGTTTTCTGGGGCTGAATGACGTGTATTGGGTGCTACGTTCCACAAACATGTTCTTTAAGGTGTCGAGGTATTTCTACGATGAAAGTGAGTTTATTGTACCTTCGCTGTCGCCCTTGAGAGGACAGTCTTTCCTTTCGTAAAACAGTACATCGAAGACAAGATGGCGGTGGAATGTTCTTATCAACTAACATTTCGCGCATTTTTTTTGAGCAGGAGGAAAAGGTCAGTATGATAGTTTTTCGTTAAACAATTAACCTATAGATACTTAATTCTTCTCAATAGTATAACTCCAAAATCGAACTTAATCGTTTCAGGAATACAGTGGCTAATTAAGTGTCCATTCTGCCGTGAAACTGTTTTTCACCCTTTCTCTGGCTTGTTTATCTCGAAATCTTGCCTTTCTCCCCAGATTAAGTTAACGATTAATGAAACTAAGAATACTTCCGCGAATGAATGGCGCTTTGATGAAGACTGTGAAAAATCGCCTTCTGCAGTAATTTTAGCTTTCTTCTCCGGTACGTCTTCGTTGAGAAATAAAATACACGTACTTCAACTATAAATTTAAATCAATATAATAACGCCAGTAAGATGGTGTTTTGAAAATACGAATATTCTATCATTTAGGTCTACAAAGGAAAAAAAATTGTAGCAATCGGTTTGAATTCTGATTTTTTCCACCTTATTTTGATGATACACTGTTTGTTTACATTTCAGTATGCAAATAAATATAACATTTTGGCGTTTTAAAGAAAATCTAGCCTAACTCCCCAACCCCAAAATAGCACGAAATGATACGTTATAAATACACCTTTTAAATAAATCCTGGTTTCTGCTGCAGAAAAATCGCATTTATTCCTAAATGATACCATTTTGTGGATACTACATTTGTTGATATGCTAATTTGTGAGACATTTAATTCACAAATGATGTTGAATGAGACCAGCTTCTCCTCCGTATTGATCCACATTCTTGTTTAATGCATCAGTTTCTGCTTGATAATTCTTCCATAATGTACAACTTACGTAAGGGGTTCATCTGGATACAGTAAAAAGAAAGCTCTCAACAGAAACATTAATAACAGACAAATTTATCCATCCATTTGTGCCATGTTTGTTGTCGTATCCAGCTCATTTGGGTCCTTTAGCAGAAGTATTTTGAGAAAACAGCATTATTTGCACCCCTTTAACAAACTTCCTGTCTTATGTTTAAACAGGCTTTGAAGGTGAACAACATCGTCAGATTTATGGAGTGATGGCCATTCTTTGTTTTAAATGGATCACTACTGTCATCAAATTTAAATTAATAAAAAGAAATCGATTGTGGAACGCAGGAGCTGTTACTCAAGAGTCGCTTCAAAATAGTAGCTTGGGAAAATCTCTGTATCTTTTAGAGTGAAAGAAAAATAAAAGTACTGTTCGTTTTTTCGGAGTATGTGCATTCGTTTTGTCTGCAACTGAGCTTATGAAATGCTCAAATGATTATGTACTATATAATCACTTGTAACTGTTGCTGTCTCAAACTCAATCCATTCTTCATTTCCTATAGAATATTTTTTTATAAATTTTTCCGCGAAAACTTCCGAAAAACTGTAAAAACCCATAGATTTCATGTTTTTGTGGCAAATATAAACGCGTGTCTCCGCGATCAGTTTAACATGAGACATTGCGCTAATAAATAAACCTCGCGTGGTAATTTTTTGTTTCACTTTTTGTCTTAAAGCAGCTGCTACGATGCATTTCCTCCCTGATGAGTAAAACCACGAATTTGGAAATCAAACCATAGAAATGCATTGCTTTGCCAGTGAAAATCAGACTTATACAGGAACATTACTTTTTGGCGTTGAGTCTTGAAAGTCTTTAAAAGGCCAAGAAAACCTACTGCTGAAAAATCTACGAGTGAAAACCCGCGTAGAAAACGTCCGATTTTTGTCATGGCGAATATTTTTTTTGTAGGAAAGTACGGTATTCAAAGCACCAACGAAAAGGACTGTAATTTTACGCGCGAGTTTTCGATTTCCCGCCATCAGATTTGATGCGCCCACGCTGTTGTCGTTCAGCGGATTCACGCACGCGCATGCAAAATGCCCTCCTGTTATTGGAAGCTCCCTAACCGTGCACAATCCTTTGTTTTTTTTTTGTTGTTCACAAATTGTGACTGAATAAATTAACGCGATGTTTCTATTGGTCAGTAAGTTCAAAATGATAGGAATGCTATCGGTCAAGTCTAAAATAGCTGACAAAAACATATAACAAAGGAGTCTGTCGGGCTTCATGACATTCAGCTTTGTTAACTATGGTGTGGTGCAGTCACGCTCCTTTCAAAATCACCGTTAATATGCCGATTTGAACAAAAACCCTTTCCCGGCTGCGTAAGAGCTATCTGCTAGGCTGGTTTTCACTAGTAACGGAATCGGAGTTGGAATCGTAAGCGGTGTGACACTTATGACATTGTGATAATAAAAAATCAGAGCGCGACGGAGTCGGAAGAATCAGAACGTTTCAATTTACGACTCCGTCGTTTACGAACTATTGAAAACCAGATTGTCGGAAGCAGAAGCGAAAGGATCAACCAATCACTGGGCTAGTTCCACGCTTTGTGATTGGTTTAGTTCTTCCGCTTCTCCTTGCGACTCCGACAACCCAGTTTTCACTAGATAGATCGTAACCAACAGAGTTTTCACTAGACTCCGCCGTTAGTCATGAGCAGCCTTAAGGCTTTTTCTTCACTATATCGGATGCTTTTTTAGACGCGGAACTTTAAGAAATTTCTTGGACTTCACTTCACTTCTCACCTTAATTAAGGATGGAATATCCGCCCAAAACGCATAATTGGGTACCATCTCTGTTAACCCTTCTGCTCCCATTTTAAACTTCTTAATGAGAACTCCACAAATAAGGTAAACGAAAACCAAAACAAAAAATCTGAAAGCAGATGAAAATATAACTTAACATAGAAATAACTTAACATATAAGTTTTTAGATAAATTTTCAAGTGTAAACAAAAGTCGACTGATTACAGCTAGCCTTGAAAGGAATTTTGTCACCAGGATATTATGTTTTAGGCAAGAGAGGATAAAGGGGACAGAGAAGGCATCCCCCATACACAACCTATTCCATAAGATAAATTTATCTCGCGCGCTTCGTGGATGTTTCGTGGAGGTTTCGCATGACTAAACGCCGTGGAAAACATGTCGGGCGAACGGCAATGAAAGCGTAAAGAGATCGAGGGTATTCCCGAATATTGACGTGAAATGAGTCGGCGCTCACCTGGGAAAAGGGAGTCGCTAGACTCTTTGACAACCTGTGAAATCAGTTTAACTCGAAGTTTACGTGACCTCAGTGCTTTAATAAAATGAGAAATTTCGCCGGTCTATTGAGACCGGTCGTTTGTACATGTACAATAAAGGAAGTAGACACCAAGTGTTATTTTTGTTTAATAATAAAAGACTAATAAAAGAATAAATATCAAACCAGAAATTGCTCTCTTCAAACTGTAATAAATGATCCTGAGGGAATATTCACTGTGTTAAGGATTTCCCTGCTGTACTGTTAGCTCTATACAAGGGAGGAAGGGCGATTCTTTTTTAATTTCCGTTTCGCTGACACAGCTTTAGCAGAAATCTCTCTGTAGTCGTTTTCGTCGACTAAACGAATAGCAATATCGCTCTCCGCGTCTTCCATTTTGTTCTGCGTCAATTCGTGAAGGACGCGTGGCTCTGAGCGTGGGTCATCCACGCGGAACACATTCGCGCTATGTGATTGGCTGTTGTCTAATCCCCCTTGGGATCTGTGGTCTTAAAAATAACTCGAGACGAATTACCTATGGAATAAGGTGTATATGAGGGATGCCTTCTCTGTCCCCTTTATCCTCTCTTGGTTTTCAGTCAATTCTGTGCTCAAGTCATTACTTAGTGCTTTAACGTTAAAAAAAATGTTACCGTAGAGTTATAAAAAATATATTAAACAAACTTCACCAGGGAGCACGAACCATTATTATTTTGATGATATATGCAGGTATAGCATTAAGGTGTTTCGATATAGTTTTTCCAAGGCCATACCGACATTTGTTAATCGCTTTAAAAGTGATTTTATCCTTGCCTGATCGCTATAAAATTTTCACCAATGATTGACTATAGATTGAAATTTGTCAAAATGTAGGTTTTAGTAAAATCGATATTACTATGACAACAATAAACAAAAAACTTTGAAACTGATAAACGAATAATTTTGCGGGATCTAGACCAGCTACTCAAATTCAACACTAGGAACTTAAAGTTTGGTGTTTAGCAAATAACCACCGAAAGAAGTAAACAATTCTGTATGTTTGAATTCGACTAAAACGAAAATATATTTCAAACCTTAAATATTCAATAGCCGTGATACTTTTTTTTAATAAAAACGTTATAAATGACTCAAATTATTTTTAAGTAGTGTCAGAATGCTGCTTAATATCATATTTCGATGCTAGGAAATTTTGGTGTGTTTTCGTTCTTGCGATCTTAAAAACTAAGTAAAAACCCGCTTTCTCACCACCTGTCTAAGCGCAACTTCATTCAAAATTCGGACTTTTAGCGCTGTTTTGTATATCTCTGAAACAACTGGAACGAATTTTTTTGAAATCTCTTCACATAATCTTCATAATGTATATAATAATGTCTCTTAATTTTTCATTAAGATTGATTCAATGCAACACCTTGAGATTTCAAGACAAACATATATCCTACGAACCGGTCAAAAATCTGCGCTACAACATTCATGATCACTGTTTTGACGTTATGCTAATTTTTCCAAATTAACGCCGAAAATACATATATCCGTTCAATGTTTTACATTCAAAAGATGTGATAAATTCAAACTAAAATGAACTAGTCAAGGAGGTATGTATATTGCGCGTTGGAGATTGCTTGTTAAACACCAAACTTTAATTTCCTAGTGTTGGATTTTCAGTAGCTGGTCTAGATCACACAAAATTCTTCTTTTATCAATTTCTAAGTTTTTTGTTTATTGTTGTCATAGTAATATCTATTTTACTGAAAACTACATTTCCACAAATTTCATTCTATAGCCAATTACTGGTGAAAATTTTGTAGCGATCAGACAAGGAAAACTCACTTTTAAGGCGATTGGAAAGTATCGGTATGGCCTCTGAAAAACTGTATCGAAACACCTTAAGACTTGAGAAAGTTGGGCTAACTTGAAAAGTTGTCATCCCTTACAGCAGACGAAAGAAAGTAGTTTGAATGCAAAAACAAGTTAATTGATGCGAAAACAAGCTTTTGCTTTTAAAATAGGATGACCAATAAGGTGTTATAGCCCCTTTAAGAGCCCTCTGACCTTTGATCTTTGGCGCCTTAGTTTGCTAAAGAAAAGCATTTTACCTCCGGCCGACAGAGCATTTTTGTTCTCTGTTCATTTAGTAAATATGGATCAATGAGAATTACTGTATTGCACATACAAATAGCGGCTTAATGGGGTATTGGAAAGAAACTATTCTTGTTTGTTGAATAGTAAGGCTTGAAAAAATGGATGCTGCACGGTGGTGTCGTGATGTCAAATTCACGAGTAAAACTTCGTGTCTTGGAATTGAAAATAGACCGTAAACGAACTAAAATGGCACGTGACTCATTATATTGAAAGATGTTTTCCTGAGCTTGTTAACCCCTTATGATATAAAGGTTTACATACCGGAACTTTTCAAATGTTTTAAGTAAAAAATAGTTTCCTTATCATACCTCATACATATTCCTCATCAAAACGTTCCTAAAATTGAACTATTAAATTAACTTGTACACTATCCACGCAGCAACATATACACTGTACGACATATACAGATGCATTTTAAGATTTCATTACATACGTTATCAATATAATACTGCCTTTACTGAGTCTTTTATGTTTGGGCTTCACGGTTGGATCAGCGGGGTTTGTTGGATCAACCGAGGATGGAGGAGTAACACAGCCATCATCACATGCGCACTTAGAGGTAAACGTCATTTTCTGCGAAAACCAGAAAAACCATTAAAAATCAAAAATAAATTCAAGACTTGTAGCATTCCTGATATAAAAAGTTTAGTTAATAAAAATTCCGTTTTTTTCTTATTTTGCCCAATGGACATTTTCATTCCCTCCCTATTAACTAAGAATAATCTGAGACAGTTATTATTAAGTGCAGGGAAGAGATGATTTCTTTGTGATCACGAGGTAGTCGTGTCGAATGGGTGGTTGTTGTACAGTGGGTTTCACTCTTACTTACTAAAGGGAGGGGTGAGGGGGGGTGGATACCACCCCACTCGGGAAGCCAAAAACACATTGCGTCAAGAGGGACAAATCTACAAAAGCTTATTTTGGATGACGTCACTGGCCTCCAGCAGCGCCTCGTTGCATATCTATCCAATAATGCTAACATCATCATATTCTAGACCACATAACAGGCGGGTCATGTAGCAGCTACTCGCAAGAGAAGTCACCAATGATGCTTTTCCCTGACCCCAAACAATACTAAAACAATTGGAAGAATGACATGTCATTGTTTCTTGCGACCAATGAGAAGAGACCTTTCGAGCAGCTCCTACACTACTCTAACAGGCCATCTAGTCTATCCGTAATGATAGAAATTTTTCAAAGTATCGCATCATATCAAAAACGCAAGGGGGAGGGGGGTTGGGGGCAGTGTTCTTACCAAGCGTTTGACACTACGGTGAGAGTATGAATGGCCGAGGGCTAACTGACCAACCTCGAAGTCATACATGGCTTCGAGAGGGAGAATAAAGCAAAATATAATATCTTGAGGCTCAGCAATGATTAATACATTTAATTTTGTTCTATTCTCCTAAGCTTCGGAGCCAAGTATGAATTTTTTATTACATCGATATTGGTCTATTAAGCGATTAGATATTTATAAACACAAGAAAACGCACATAATGATATGAATCTTTTACAGGCTGCGGAAGAACCACAACACCGTCTCCGGTATCACCAGGGTACTTTGTGTCATCGCATTTAAGTTTTATATGCACCTCCCTAAAACATTAAAAAAAATAGTAATATTGTACAAAATAAAATTGAATAAACAAAAGTGAACAAGTCGGTCATTTGAGAGAGAGAGAAACCTTTATTCATTTATATCACCGTAGCCCATTTAGATGCTATAGCAACTGCTATTTCATATTTTTGGTACCAAGTATATAACTTTAAAGCATATGTCCATTCACTTTAGTTTTAGTCAAAATATGCACATGAAAAAACAGAAGAAATCAGCTTGAGGCTCAGTAATGAATAATACATTTCTTTTGTTTTACTCCCTCAAGCCTTTGGAGCCAAGCATGAATTTTTATATATGGAAATTGGTCTGTTATAAGTTACACTTTATTGACCTCAGGTTATTTAGATAAATAAGAATGATTTACCTTCTCGCATATGAACGGTAAGATATGGTGGTAGATCCGTCTTTGTTTACTGTGAATGCAGCGGCAGACTGGGCCAATACTTGGCCAGTACTGGTTTTTCTGTTCGGGTTTTTACACATCTTGGAGTAAATGTATTTCATTTTAATAGACCTTATGATACCCGCCATCTTTGCATGCACCCTAGGATCGATGGGATATTTGCAATGTCACGTGATTTCTCAGGGGACGAACAATGAATAAAATTTGCCATTATGAGTAATCGCAGTGGAATTTGTCTATTCTATCAAAGCGAAACGACGATGTAATGGTCATTTAAAATGTACAGTTTGAGTTTAAACAAGTTTTACGTCATCATTGCATGCTGAACGTTATCGCTTCCAAATTAAGTTACAATGAACACTTTCACTAATAACTTGCCATTATCGTCTTCAAGATAAAAAGTTCTTCATTTCCTTTTGTCTCGAATAAGCAAACTCTACCGAGATTTCTTGTATTAGCAGATTTTATTACTTGTTTGGTCCCCTGAGAAGCCATCAGTCCTTAAGCGCGTGCAAAGATGGCGGGTATCGTGAATAAGGTCTATTGGAACACAGTAGCTTGGGACCAGGCTCCGCAAAAATCGGCGACTGTCAAGCGAGTCGAGCTGTTTTTTATCCTTTACTGATCTTTTTCGCCCTTTTTGCCCACTGCGGAGCCATTTCCCTGACCAGGTACACAGTAGTGCTTTTCTAGCCCAGGTAGGTTGGTGTTGGGGAGGGGACTGGGGAAGTTGGTGTTACATGTAGTTATCCTGCCCACTAGGATATATCATGGTGAGTACTGTTGCCGGTCTGGAAACCTAACCTCTAAGAAAAAAAGCGAACTAGACTGGTGTTTACCTTGAAAAGAACAAATATCTCAGTTTTAGAACCCTCTCCTACCAACCTGGTACTTTCAATCCTCGCACAGAGAGGTCTTTAAGAGGCACCGCAGACAAAACTAGCCTTTTCCAGGCGTTCAGTTAGTGGAGTGCGGTGCGAGGTAAGAGAGCGGGAAAAAAAGATCACTTCTTGTTTGCACCGACCGCACAATCTGAACAGCTGAATAGGTTAGTCCTATACGTTCTTATTAGAGAGGACAATTTCACAGGCGCCTCGGCTATTATATTGTTATTAACCAGCGAACGCAGACTTACTTCCAGTCGTCAGTCTCTTCACGTCTGCATTCGCGGGCTACCGTAATGTATTGCAGAAATATTATAAAAAGCATTCAACGGCTACAAATGGAGATAGTCAACATGGGCGTGTTTGATACCCCTCAGCCCCGAAGGTAAGTATGAATTTATAGTACTAGGCCTGGTTCCTGAAAGGCCGATTAGCGCTAATCCAGGGTTAAAGTTTTGTTCCGTTTTTGTATTTTACGTTCCTATGGAAGCAGGAGGTGCCAAAGAGTGATAAAATCGTTCTTACCAATGCATCGTTGCAGCCACTGCCTTTGGTAAATGCCGTGCAAGGATTCCAGTCGAAACTTGCTTTAAATTTTTGATCCCAGTCATTCGTTGGTATATTTTTAAAACTGAAGGAAGAAAGAAATACTGGTTAATATATCCCATGGAAAATAGATTACTTCACATTTTTAAAGTTAACTAAAAGATCGCATTACTACAAGAACGTATTCAAAATATTTTCCCATTTCTGATTGATTAAAACCATACGCATAATTCATCACCACCAGCTACTGTTGACCAAATTTGGCAAGAATTTTGTCATATTGAAGCGATGACGTCAAAATTACTTCAAAAGTGCAGCCTAAACATGGGGACGAGGTTCAGTTGTTTTGGTAGTGAGTCATCCTTTAGTATATTTTTAAAACTGAAGAAAAAAAAGAAATACTGGTTAATACATCTCATGGAAAATAGATTTCTTTAATGAATTTATGTTAACTGAAAGATCCCATTACTACAATAACTTCTTCGAAAAAAACCATTGATGAAATGAGTTTTTTTTAGAAAGTTCTAAAAATTCTTAATTGTTTTGGCACAGTCCGTTCCGCTGTTCCCGAAATAGACACGCTCAAATGTGACGTGAAGAAAAAAATTTGGGAGCTGTAAAATGGGATTTTATGCATGGTTTTCTCCTTTACGCAGTGTCACCAGTATTGTTGTCTGAGTTGCTGCCTTTTAAAAGCTCTTGTAGTTTGACTGTTGTAGTTTTTTTATTAGAAGGAATATGTTTAATTCTAGTCCACACTTGTTTATTTGTAACTATAGTCACGTGTTCCTTAATTAACATCATAGTTCTTAAATCTACTTCACATATGCTTTGTTTCCGAGAGAAGATGATGTGACAAAGGGCCTGTTTACATGGAGGTGGGGCACCCCAGGTAGGTGAGGTAAAATATGGCGGCTCACCCCACCTATCATGTAAACGTGATCAAATTAAAATGAGAGATTATATGGACAAACGGGTTACCTCACCTAAGCGGGTTACCTCACCTACCTGGGGTCCCCCACCTCCATGTAAACAGGCCTAAAGAGGAATGGAGGGCCAAAATGGCCACAAACGTGAACTTTGTAGTTGTATACTTTCTAGACTCTAACTTGAAAATCCCTACCATTAGTAAAGGAATACCTCGGCTTCGGGGGCAAAATCCCTGTATAGTATATTATGAGGAGGTGGGCTGGTGCTGTTAATGATATTTTTCTAATAAATTTGAGCCTGGGTTTAGCTACTGAACCCTTAAAACCGTAAATGGAGTCATACAAGTGCCGTCATCGCAGTGACCTCTTTTATACGTACACCTCTCTAATACGGACACTTCGCTCTGTCGCTTCGGTGTCCGTATTAGAGGGGTACGACTGTAAATTCTGTAGATTGCAGAAACCCTGGCTAAAAAAGTATACATCTTACTCTTTTGTGATACGAGTCGTTTCAAGAATCACTACCAAAACAAATTAGAGTATCTTTACTATTCCATGTTAGCCTCCCTTAATTAAGTCCGTATTTGATCGACTATCATGACTAAAACATTTAAAGTGCATGATTTATTTAACTATCATGACTTTAGTTAAAAGTTAAAAGTTTTGAGGTCTAATTTATAAAGAAAGAAATTCAAATATTGTACTTCTTGCTGAATAAGAGTCATGGAACTTGCTTTGCTTCTATTTTAAAAAAGCTTAAAAATCCAAGTCAAGCAAGTCAATAATTTTTGTATAGGGCCATCATTGTCAGCTCTCAAAATAATCCCCGTATTGGACTTTTGACCACACTGGATAGAAACTGATGCGAACACAGTGTATTTGAGGGACTCACGAGACGCTTGAAACTTGATGTGCCTCTACTCGACTTTATTATCAAAAAAGTAGTTAGAGTGAAAACGAGTAAAGCCAATGAGTAGCAATGTAATAAACTCCTTTTTATTATGAACGGCCAAAGTCGTGATATTCATTCTTCTTTAACGAGAATAATTATCTAATAATCTATAAGGGTGAAGTATGGGATTTTTTCTGAGAGTTGCTGCCACACAACTATGGCCATAGGATTATAACACTTCAGAGATAAGTAACTTCGCGTTGATAGCATTAATTTTAGAGAACATACAAAAATTCTTAAATAAAGCCGGCGAAACTATAAAATATCTATTGACACTTCAACAACTACAATAATACTGAGAAACAAAACGTTACTTACGCAGGACCTCCTTTAACCCCATCAACTTTTCTTAAACTTATAACTTTCCCATTGCTTTTTCTACATGAACAGTCGTCGATCTTGTCACACTTTTCAGCAGGAACTCCCTTGAATTCGGACACAAAAATTATCGATACGATGATGAAAATTCTGGCTGCGAAAAGAAACCGTTTTTGTCTTTCCATCACGCAAGAGACGAAGATGATACCGCAATGCAAAACTTTAAGCGTATGAATTGTGCGTGACCTGTACATTAAATATCTTGTGATTGTAAGCACAATTGTAGATTTTGGGCACGAGGCCCCGTCCAATCGTATCCTTCTTTATTTATGAAAATATATATATATATATAAAATATATAGGAGACTCACGGAAAAAACATTTTCAATGACAGGCGAATTTCCCGCTATCCAAATAACAAGCTGGAAGCTGGAGTTTTAGTGAAAAGCGGATTTAAAAGCCCTTGACGTGTACTGAGACGAAAAGAGTCTCAGATCGTTTTTGTGTTAGAGTGGTAATGAAGTTTGTTTTCTACCAACCTACGAAGTTAATTTTTTATTCTTTTCTTTGTTTTGCTTTAATACTACTCTCCAGATTTAACAGCTATTATCCGAAAGGACCCCTAAAATTTGACTTTTAAGGACGACAGGTCTGCTAAAATCGAAATCACCCTCCGAGATTAATTAAGAAAATTGACGGCTAATCGCATCGGCGTCCTACAGGGCTTTGAACTACAGTCCCTATACAGTGCTAGACATCTCCATCGTACCACTCACCATGGTAATCAAATTTTGACTTACTTACTTAGCGTTACCATGGAGTACAGAATCATTTCTAAACCAGTTAAAAGATCATGAAAGGATTCAGAATTAAGAGGTATCCAAAATTTTTGCGGCTTGAGATGCGCTGACAAAAAAATACCGACGCGTTCAGCTTTACTGTCTAAAAATATCGCTCAAAAATATTGCCCGCTGTGTCCCCGCAGTTCAGGAAATTTTCCTGATAACATATCGCTTCTCGTATCGTAACTGGGAAATTTTAAGCAAAAATTTTCTCCGAGTGGGCAGATGTGAGGCCTGTGAGGTAGATGACCTATCCCTGTAGACAGCCACTGTGGTCCGAGTCTTGTATTTAGTACCGACCTCCCGTACGCTTCCACCCCGGGGGGGGGGGGGTACTGCCATATATGGGCTATATAGGTATGTGCCGCTGTGAAGGGTATGGCTTTCAAACAGTTTACTGTAGGACAGGGTATATAAATCAGAGTGTTTGGCTCTAGAATAGGGTATTATTTTTCAGGAAACTGATCAGTTGGTTGAAGATTTCATCTAGACAAGATACACAGCTACTCTAGGGTAGGGGGATTTGGGGAGTTTACTCTAGTATAGGGTAGCAAAATTCAGCTGAACTAGCTCTGGTAAAGGTTAAGGGTTCCAGGCTCCCAGCGGCACATCGCACCCAGAAATTCCTAAAGTACCCCCCCCCCCGGGGCTTCCTCCAACTCTTGCCGTATAGGTTGGTAGCACGCGGGAGTTTCGACTGTATTTGATTCTTTCGTTAAGAAACAAAAATGAGTCACTCTCATTGTGGCTCCAAGAAGAGCAAAAGAACCGACGCAGACCGTGACGGGTAGAGCGTACCAAGTATGAGGGGACTGACTGAAATAAAACAACAAGATCATGATGATTTTTTCTGTCACAAAAAACGCGTTGGAGAACATCTGCATTTTTCTCAACTCCCTCTTTTTCTTTTCTGCTGATGACCCATTGTCTATTCTCATTGACAGGTCATCTCGCAACCGGTGGAAGCAGAAAGAGAAAGCCGACAAACTTGCAAATGTTACATTACATTCTCCTTTGGGATAAAACAAAGTGACATCACAGATGTCTATGGCGATAGAATGAAAAATTTAAACAGTGGTAATCCACCACTTAAAGCTGACGGTGAACAAGGCGATGGCAATGAGCCGACTGCTCAACACGAAAAAATGAGTCAGAAAAAGTACAAGTTTATTTGTCTCATGCGTCATATAGTTTACAGTGCCATCTTCTTCCTTGCCGTGAATGACATCATCCGCGACTGTAGACGCCCAAACTAAGCAAAGAAAAGACAGGGGCACCCAAAGACAATTTTCGGAAAAATATCTGTTCGGAAGACGATTTGAGATCTAGAATTTTCGGAACAATTGTTGTAAAATTTCTTGCTTGCAAGCCTCTCCTAGGATTTTCGAACATATAAAAAATGGTATACTTGCCCATTTTTAACTAATTTTTACCCTAAAATGTTCACCTAGAATTTTCGGGAGCCTATTTTCTGGCTAAAATTTTCGAAAAGGTAAGTTTTGATCCCTATAATTTTCGGATCACTAGACTTTCAGCTAGGAAATCCGAACAGATGAAAATTTTTAGGGGTTAAAAATATGCCTATATCTACCGTTTAAATGCTAAAATACATTTAACAATGCTATGTTTAAGTGGTTTTGAACTATACTCTCGTTGGGTGCCCCTGAAAAGACACCGGCAGAGAGACAGTGTGCACTACCTTCACAGATTCCTTTTGAGCAACCATGGCGTATAGCTCTATAATAAACTGAGGAGCTGATTTGAGTGTGGCCTCATACAGAACGGGCGATGTTATTGCTAGCCAGTATCATCAACAGCCGTTCCAGTATGAGACGTTTTGATCTTATCGCCCCGCCAAAGGTTGTTAAAATTCTTCAGGTAGAAAATAAGGGTTTGCAGTTTCACCGAGGCTGAAACTTGTGTGTATCTCCTAGCGCGGCTGACCCCTTTCAGTTCAGATTCTTTCGGTGCATAGTAATTTACAGAAAAAGCCACACATGAAAAAATAACAAATGTGAGCCCAACACCGAACCATGTCTTGTGGTCTGCGCGGTAAAATTTGACCAGTGTGAGAATATCAGTGATGGGGTCAGCGAAGCTCAAAATGGTTCCAAAGAGAACCACGAAAATGTCGTACCTTTTAAGTTCTTTTTCCACCATCGCTTTGACCTTACTAAAAAAATATTGAATGAGTTATCGCAGAAATATTTTCTAAGAAATTCCTGTTCGAAGTTGTGCGTCAACTCACGAAGAGAGGTCCTTGTGTTACAGAAAGTATTAGACTGAAAACGGTTGGAAGTGTCTTAAAACTTAAAATGCCACAAAAATCTCATACGAGATTATAAGGTCAGCTTTGACAACGAAATTACTGTATGTAGGTGTATTTATACATTTGTTTCATCCTTCCTAGAAAACTAATCATACCGGAAGCCCTAAAAAGGTTGTCAAGATCTACTTCATGATTGAGCAGACTGGCACGTGCACTTTGGGTAGGCTGGATCTCGTAATTCTTCCTTTCCTAATCGATTTAGCCTCTCTTATTACTGCACATTTTCTCATCCATTGTTTTGAATAATTTTGTTTCGTTTGAAATAGATTAATATTTTAAGGCCGTGGGGAGCTCGGAATATGAAGAAAGGAAATGGCGTTAAGTGTTTCAATGTTTCAGTAGTAGATGATCAAAATATATTTATTTATTTTTCCCGACAAAACGTAGATGTCCTATGCTTCATATGACAAGAAATCCTCTGGGAAAGTTATAAGCGGTCTATAATATACAAGCCAGCTCTAATAGTGTAAGGTGGCCAGTACGACCAAATCCCTTGGCAGAATTAGCATCAACTCCATAAAATATTTAGAATATTTGGTAGCTTTAGACAACCCAAAGTTCGAGATCCCACATCCCATCCCGTTCCGCTTCCCCCAATACTTTTAAGTGTCACAAAAAAATTACGTTCTGGTGGTGAACTTCAAGAATTTGCTAGTCGACCACTTAACAGAGGCCTAGGGTGACTGTATACTGGGAGGTGATCTAAAATTAAACGTGCCATATAGAAGGCAAAAAATTGCATGGATCTCACTTTGTTATCCATTAAAAATATTTCTTCGGTTCTGATTAGCTTATAATCATGTCAATACCGTTGACCAAATAAGTGAAGACGTTTGTCGCTTAGCATGCGTGGGAACGCTTTCCGATCGTGTTATTGCGCGAAAGTTAATTGGCTCATGCGTCACTGTACTGTACTTAAAGGTTTTCAGTAGTTCCGTAAAAGTAAAAATCAGTTGCACTTCAGAACATAATATTGCAGTTTGGACCAAATCACTACTGTCTTGTAGTGAACCAGGTTTGTTGACCGTCATGCTGTCCCTCCAAACGACACTAAGAAGTTTTGTGATCGCATATTGCACCAAGTTATTTCGCTCGTTTAGAACATGGAGAATTAATGAGTGACATGATTTAAAATTGAACTCTCTTCTGATGCTCTGTCAAAGGTCGCTTGCAATCGCTGTTTCATAACCCTTCCTGGTCGTGTAAGTGTACGTAAGGTTAAATCTTGTCATAGCCACTTTTACTGGACCTCTGGTACAATGAAGAACATCCAGATCTTACGCCTTGACATGTAAATATAACTCCATCCTGAAAAGAGAGGTTATATCAGAGACTGTAAGAGTGGGGGTAAGGACGAATCCTTAGAAGAGCAGTACTAATGCAAAGTACAAAAGTAACTTGTGGCTAGATTTCGCCCCATGTACGGAAAATCAAGACAGTCTTGGATTCTGGATTCCATACCGTGGATTCTGGATTTTAAGTACTGGATTCTGGATTCCAATCGTTTGAGTGGGATTGCGGATTCCGTGAGCTGTATTCCAGTTTCCAAAGTCCAGGAATCCGGATTCCACAGCTAAAACTTCCTGGTTCCGTGTTCAATGGGTTAAACTTTAAGTAATACCTTGGTAAAGTCGGCTTCTATTTACCTTAACAAGAGATGGAATTCCAGCCCAGAATTCGTAATTAGGTATCACCTCCGGCACACTTTCTACTCCCATTTTGTATCTTTTAATAAGAACTCCAGCAATTAAATAAACAAGAAGCAATGCGAAAAACCTGAAAAAAAAAAGATGTAAAAACATTACGCAAGTAGAACAAAATAGTAGCCTGGGAATACTGCCCTTTCTAATCTTTCCTTGTCCCTGGAGGATGAAGACGTTGCTGAAAAGATGAGTAGCGGCTGCATTCGTAGCGTGCGCCACAGACGAAACTTAACTGTGGTAAGGCAAAACAGCTGCGAAATCCTTGCTCTTCGATCGCCCCCACCTGCTGTGTACCAGGATTTGAGTACGAGCCATGATTAGTCTATTCAATGTCGATTTGTCAATCAGAATAAAAGCAAATCTGAAAAGCATTTCCGGATCGTTGAGTCTCGGCGCTGCTCCGCAGACGTTACTGAAACTGGGATTTATGGGATCAATTTAGGTTTCTGGGAAACTTCCCACCTACCCCTCCCCTAAGCCAACGTTAACACTTACTTCTCGTTTAGGGCAAGATGTTAATTTAGGGGAGGGGTAGGTAGGCAGTTTCCCACAAACCTAAACTGATCCATGAGGTCGTACAAAGTATTGAAATATGCGGATCCATAACTCAATACAATAGCTAAAATCTATTTGAACTCACACTATCAATAAAATACTTCCAATACTGAGTTTGCTACTTCCTGATTCTGATGGACTATCACAGCCATTGTCACACGCGCATCTGGATGTAAAAACCATAGTCTACGAGGAAACAGATTGTAACAGAAACAAAAAATTGAATCGAATAAACCAACTCGTATATGTTACGGAAAGAAATCTTCCAAGTCGGAAGCTGCGAAGCTGCAAAACTGTCCCAGATTATACACTAACCGTACAGCGTCAAAGACACATCAGTCACGCTGTAATAGCAGGGTGCAGCCCAAGAACCCTATCAATTGCGATATTTAGCCATCTTAGCACACTAAAAATGCGGCTTTCCACATCTTGGAAGCGCTCAAGAGAAGTAATCTGTTTCATGAGCTGAACTTAATGTGTTGAATTAAAAATATCAAAAGCTTCATATATTTCATGTTAGAACAACTCATCCACTCTTGTATTGTCGCCTATGTTTGGGCCGGGGATTTTCGGATGCCCAGCTTTTCACGTGCCGATTTTAATGCATAAATTAAAGTTATAGCATGTTCAGGAATTTTAACATTTATTCTAAAATGTATTAGAAGCGAATTATTAGATCAGCGTCCGATTAAGCACGAGTACTTTTTATTAAAAGAGGTCCTCCTAATTTGAATGAAGTTGTGCTCATGAAACATTCGGTATTTGAACCTGGCCTTGAAAAAGTTTGAAACAGAACAACATCTTGATTGGACTTGGATAACTTGCCAAAAAAAGAGCAAAAAACGATTATTCGTCAAAACCTTACATAGGCTGAATTTTTTGGTTCGTAAAATTCTGTTACTCCGCTCCCTGTATTTCCTGGATACTGGGATTCGTCACATTTAAGTGTGATCTCCACTGATCTGTAAAAAAGGAAAAAATGACACTAAATAAAGGCTTAAAAAATCAATCGAGCTGGTTTGAGGCTGAGGGGGAAAAAAACACAAAGCCCTCGCTGTTTACTTAATATCTTTTTCACACGCGAAAGTGACTTCATGATCTTCCTGCATGGTAACATTAGAACCGGGCAAAGTAACATGAACAAAACTTAACTGAACTTTAGTCATTGATTATGTTGAGTAAAAGATTGGTTTTAATGACTCTGAAGTTGAACATTTTAACAAAATGAATCACAGGTTTTGTGTTTTCAATGATCGCGCAATAAGATTTCATCGACCTGACAGATTCAGGATTTAATGAATTCACTCGAAATGTTGACTCATTACATTGTCAATGCATTTTCTGCTGATCAGATTAAACCGAATTATAGAGTTTCCCAAATAAACACCTGAAATTTAGTTACGAACCGTTTGTAGTCCTTGCTGTCAGTAAATGACTGGTAGATAATGGTGGTTGTACCATCCTTGTTAACTTTAAATTTAGAGGTCTTCTGCGCACATGGGTTGTTTTCATCTGTAGAATGCAAATTTTTCTGGCACATCTTGAATAGGAAAAAAAAAAACAACAACAACAACAAAAAACAAAACAGGAAAAAGAAATTATTGCGAAACATGGGCTTAATTGCAGTTCTGATGTTTCTAGCGATTGTATTACATAAATTCTAGACTTACAAGAGAGCGAATCACAGTAAAACCGCCTGCAATATAATAGGCTGCATACTAAAGGAAAGAAAGTGTCAGTAGCTAGGCTTTTTCTAGAGGTACGCACGTCTTTTCCGAGTACACCATAACCTCAGTTCTCCGACGTCGTTTTCACATGATTTTATTTGCTTTTTTTTTATCAATTGGGTTGTCAAATTGTGATTGTAGTCTTCTTATGTTAAACTTGTATCAATCTAATAATGGCGCAAAATAAGAGAGTTACTTTTCCTGAGATCGTATAAAAACCGCCTTTCCATTTTGACAGTCTTTTTTATACCCTTGTTTGGAAGCACACAGTTTTAGTCAACTATCTATAAACGATGTGTTTCCGCTTTGGTTGATTGAAAGGGTTTTGATATATGGGTGTCGTTTATCCGGGCATCAAAAGGTTCGTTCAAAAAATAATACACCTGATGAAGCTAAAATATTGTGCCAGTCCGTGGTTTAAGAACGGCTCAAGAATTTCCCCTAAACGCGTTACGCCTCATTTTCACCGTTTTGCCGCTTGAGTTTTTAAGGGTATTAAACTAAAAAGAAACCTCTGACACTTGGGGTTTTATTTAAAAGCAAATTGATATCGTTGGCTATGAAACATGGCGCTGTTTGTTTTTGCTTCCACTTTCCAGCTATCACTAAGTGAAACGAGCTAAACGCTCTCCGAATTCGAATGCAGAGGAAATTTTACGCCAAAAATCAGTTTCTAAAGGTAAAAAGGTTCACTTAAATCCGGCCGAATTGTGGCCCATGAAAACCTGGACGTTATTAACACGAAAATTTGAAAACAAACTGCTTAAATATGACTAATGGCAGGTGATGTGACAGCTTGACCTCCGTGTTTTATACTCACATAACCTCTACTCTCAGCCAATCAGAGTGCGTGTTATATCCGAACTTCATTATAATCAAAATTGAAAATTTTAATAACTTACCAGCATATTGAGACATTCAGAGTTTTCGCTGAAGCTCGTACAAGGATTCCAGTCAAATGTATATTGCTTACTGCGAACAGTTGGAATGTTTTTAAAACTATAAAAAATTAACGTACTAGTCAATTGACCCAGGGATTGTTTTGAAAAAGCCATATTGAAACTGTAACAATCAATAAATTAATTAACAATTAATGCTCAGCAGCCTCCCTCGCTTGTGGGATGCAACCTAAAAGTTAGATATTCCAGAAATAATAGCCTTTTCAAGGGGCCCTTATTCTTGACACCTGCCATCTTTGCACGCGCTTAAAGACTGATGGGATAAAAGCGATGTCACGTGGCTTCTCAGGGGGCAAACAAGTACTAAAATCTCCCAATACAAAAAGTCGCTGTTGAGTTTGTTTATTCTACACAACAGAAAATGAAGAACTTGTTATCTTAAAAACGATAATGACAAATTATGGGTAGAAGTGATCATTTTCACGTTTTGAGACGCAGTAGCGACCGTAGATGTTCTCACATCAAGCAACAATGACGTAGAACTTTTCGAAACTAGAACTGTGCATTTTGCGGAACTTAAATCGTCCTCTAGTTTTGAGAGAAGATAATATCTCGGCCGCGATTTCTCCTATTGGCAAATTTTACTTCTTGTTAGCCTCTCAAATACAGTATAACGTGACATTGCTTTTATCTCATCAATCCTAAAGCGCGTTCAAAGATGGCAGGTATCGGGAAAAAGATCTGTTGGGGGGGAGGCGGCGGGGGGTGGGGGGGGGTGCGTAAGAAGGAAAAGCTGGTGCAATTTGCCATTTTAAAAACGAGAGGGAAACTGGAGAGAATCAGATTTCGCAAAGACTTCTGGGATCGTTACTGAGGACTCGCCGTTCAGCTATTGGCCAACAGGTCTTTGCGAAAGTTAACTCGGCTCAGTTTCCTTATTTTTCTAAAGTGGCGAGAAGTGGTGTTGCGTGACTTATCTCACTCTGTCTTTACATGGGAAATCTGGGTTGTAGATTGCTGCGTGACGACACTAAAACGGCTCTGAGGGAAACCATTTTTTTCTGGCATGTGTAGGAGGGGCCAGTCAGTTTTTTTCGGAGCGAAGAAAAAAATTTCGAGGACGAGTGAGTACGAAGAAAGAAGAGGAGAAGAGGTTTCTAAAAAACCTTTTTTTTTTTAATAAAAGGGACATTGTAAACCTTTAAATGGTGAAAGAAAAATACCCTTATATTTAGCTTCGAAGTACATTTGCAAATTTCGCGCCTTTGACCACACGGTGAAAGATTCCCTTCCATGCGTTATAGCGCGCCTTTATACCCCTGTCCGTTCACCTTCAAACGTTGCTCTGTCACGCCAGCCTATGCAAACACAAGAGGTAGCCTAACCCAAAAAAGAATTAGCATCGGCATTTTACCGTGACGTTTGACTATAAGAATTTGTATGAGGAAAAAATCAGTTGTTCTTTTACCTACGGACGTGAAAGAATTTAAATAAGAATCAGCTAACCTCACTTTTAAAAGTTGCGTGATTCTTCCTGCGGTTCCCGAGCCGATTTATGGCCATTTTATGTTTTTTTTTCAACCGGTTTCGTCCCTGTATGGACGGATTATAGAGAGAGCAAACCTGTTTACACTAAAACCCATACAATTCCTATAAATCGCTCCCCATACAAACTTTTATTTCGGAGGTTACGCAGCCATGCCGATGCTCATATTTCGAGCTTGGTTCGAGACCCCGGGGTTCGAGAGAACCTTTTTGCTGTTAATGTGCTGATTACCTAGATATTTTTTTTTCGAAGTAATAATTAAAGGACGGGTCCCACAGGCCTTTGAGTGGTTAGTCCTGTTTAAGTCAGAGGAGAGAGAAATATACCCTGCTTATCCCCTACCAGTTTCGACCCTGGCTACGCCGATTGCAAAATTATTGACACATTTTGATCGCTCTGATATGTGATAATCATCAGAAAGTGCACAGATTCATGTCATCTCACACTACCCGCGTGAAGAGCGAATAAAAATACTTACGCTGCCTTCGAGCCTCCATCGATTTCTCGTAAGTTGATGATTTTCCCATTGCTTTTTTTGCATGAACAGTCATCGATCTTGTCACAGGTCTCTTGGGAAATTCCCGAGAACTCCCCCGAAGAAAATATCCAGATAATAATGAGAACTTTTACTGTATTGATTTGCTTTCCTAGCATTATACACAACTTCAATCACCCACCAGAGAATAAGTACGTGAGCGTGAACATGGCCTTTCAACCCTCAATAGTTAAAGTTCAACTAATCCTTGTAAATCAGTGGCTAAGAGTCACATATAATTAGCATCTAAAGGAAGAAACTTGAGACAGCATTTTTTAAAAATTTATTCAGGTCGGAAATCACGAGGATATTTACATAAGAAGTAATGTTAAAAAAAAAAATAAAAGTGTTTTAAAAACACATCCGCAGTAAGTCATGCAATCGCCCATGCTATAAAATACCGGAAGTACCTGTTGCCTCCCCCAGGGGTACTCTAACAAACCTTTGGTATGTACCTAATTGTGCCAATAGGTCGTTAGTCTGGTCCTTTAGACATTCCCTTCAAAATGAAACTCTTTTCCGCTACAATTTTTTTCTTTACATATCGATGTTGTAAATCTCTTGATCTTGATTCCTGCTCAGCATTCAGGTTTTATCAGGTTATGACTTCACGAAACTAAAACTTTTTGTTATCTATCATTTATTACCCCATTTTCTCTCTTCATTTTAAAAATTACCGCTCAATGTAAACACCAGTTTCTCATGGTTACCATCCTCATTCCCAGAGCTCTCCTTGGGGTAAGGTTGCATGGATACAGGATTATTCGCAGTCCGCCTTTTATCTTAAAATCCATCCTGTTTTCAGTTATCCCAGCCAGCGCGATTGCAAGTAATAACGTTACGCTACAATAAGGGATTTGGAGGAGACAATTTTTTTCTTCTCAGGCTTACCCCTTCGTGGTTTCGCCGCTTGTCGCTTTTAAAATACGTGCTTGGGTTATGCGCGGAGTAACTTTGCAAACAAAAGTAAAGGAATGCTCACGCTCGTGCCGGCAGAGAGGTGCTTGCCTGAAAAAATGCGTCTACTGTACTTTTATTTTGCAGTCAGAGCGAACTCAATACTGGGCAATTTTAGATTGCGAGGTTGGTTAACTTTAAAGGACTTCTTCTAATTGTTTATATCTCGCCATAGCCATTTTTACTACATTTCTGGCAGAGAGAAGTGCATCCAGACTTCAATCCTTGGCACGTGAACAAACCTCCATCCTGTGGAAATTGAATAAGAAATTAGAGTAGTTTTTAAATCACTCTTTTCTTGACAAGACGTTTAGGTGCAAAATTTCTCTCTATCCACCTGAGCGTAATGTATACATATCTGACGCAATACCTGTACCAGCCACGATCAGCTTCCGCTAGGTTGACGGTAGAACTACTTACTTTATCTTTTTTTTCCTATGTAAATAGATCCATATTACTAACTATTGTGATCAGTAACGTTAAAAGAAAAAATAGACGTAAAAACCACTATATTACGAACTCCCGTATCACGAATAGCTTGTTTTTGTCTTAGTAATTAAGTGAAAAGATAACAGGAGTCAGATGTAACATACCCTCGCAATAAGACGTTTTATCATGGTGTTATATATTAAGGGTTTTTTTTCAACAGTCGGCACACTCTCCTTGGGTACTTCGACGTCACAAGACACCTAACAATGACCAATCTCTAAGAGGGTAACACTGAAAAATCTATGACGTCAGAAACAACTTATGTTAATTTTGTTTCCCTGAAATTCCAGTGTTTTCATTGGGCTGTTTTCTCGTTTAAAAGAGGATTCCATGAGAGCATCAGGACAAGAAATTTTATGTTATTGGAAATAGAGCCACGTTAGCGCTCGTATGAATAATGATAATAATAATAATAATAATAATGATAATGATAAAGATAATGATAATGATCACGACAATGACAATGACAGTGATAATGATAATGGTGATAATAATATAATAGTGGAAACTTTATTTGTGTTTTTGAATGTACAATTGTAAATCTCGCTACGTATAGGCAATTTACAAATGCTGCTTGAGATTGGATGATTAAAAAAAACGAAGCAAAATTAAAAAACAAAAACAAAAAAAACAAACAAAGAAAAGAAAAGAAATAATAATAATAATAATAATAATAATAATAATAATAATAATAATAATAATACTAATACTAAAATAAAAAAATTGTCGTACAGACTTCGCTTGCCGAGGGAAAACGTTATTTCATCATATTTCAAATCAAAATACCGGCTTTACGGTATATATGGACCACCCAGGCAAATTATACCGTCAACTCTCTTACCACCCTTGGTGCACGAGAAAGTGTTCTCTTACGAGAGGTGGCCGGTCGTCTTCGGGAAAAATCAAGAAAATAAGCTCAAACTGAACTGATCACGTTAACGTTATTATATAAAGCTATTATATACCTTACAGTTTCGCATCGAATAGCGCTGGGAACTGTTGAGACATTAATTACATTTTGCATGAATGTAACAATCCACTTTTTTACCCACAAATCGTATGACAGCCATCTTTGTGGTAAGTCAACTGCTATAATCATAAAAATACTGAACTTTTGTGACATTCGAGTAGTGGTTTTCTTACAATCATACGTGATCTTGCCGGTTAGTCGCTCACGGCAGACAGAAAACAAAGGAATATGTCAAATTTCTGGCCTAAAAAGTGGTCGCGGGATCTGTTTAAGAAATTTAAGTAGTGGTCGCTTACGACAGAGTTTTTAAAACAGTATTTGACTGAGAAACAAAACCCTTACGGTTATTTACAAAGTGGTCGCTTACTAGAAGTGGTTGCTATGAAATAGTTGACTGTACTTCGAAAGCGAATCCTTGAGATCTGACATCCGAAGTAATTTAGGAATTCAAGCTCCTGACATGTTAGACGTTTTAGCTTCTCTTTAACACTTCAGTATCCAGCATCAACTTCATGGTCAACTTCATTTGTAAATTCGGTTAGTAAGTAGTTTATTCATACACATAACACCTTAGAGCTTAAAATGGTGGATTTAATGTGTATACTCCGTTTTGACTAAGCCTGCGAGTGAGAACCGCCTCTGCAATGTCTTTAGCGACGAAGGGGAGCGATGAGAAGCGGCTGTGCTCGCATTCTACTTGTAGGTCTTGATAAGTAGTTCTCTAATCAGTTAAGCATTCTACTGTGCGACATTGCAGAGATTTAGAATCCATTTATGCGGCAAAAGGCAAATGGCAGTTTGTACCTCTTGACCAAGTTTTTTTCTCTTCACTGATCGTTTACTGTCATTATTTCTACCGTAGCCTGAGTAAATAGCAGACATTTCGTTAGGAGAAACCAGTGCCGGGAGACGAGTGCAAAAATTCCATACTGATGACGCGTCACTACCCAGATCTGAGTAGTTCCTCTGATTGGCTGAAGCGAATTCTCCAGTTGCACGACCAATCAGAGGCACTATACGTACCCAGATCTGGGTGGTGACGCGTCCTCAGTATGAGCTCGTTTCGCAGACGTCATTTCGCGGGGAAACCAGAAGTGGAGTTGCGAAATGTCGGCTGTTTTCACAGTCTATTTCTGCACTAAAAGAACTGTTGCATGTCACTTACAGTAGCTTTCATATATAAGAATTGTTTGAGACCGTTTCTATCCTCTCATTACCTAATTTTAATTTTTTAAAAATGTCAGTTTGAGTCTAACGTTTGTCGCCTGCCGTAAACGCGATTCCAAATTTCTTTAATGTTGGATTGTTTACCGTGGCTCTACAAAAGACATCACGATATGGCACGTCTCACCTTAACAAGTGATGGAATTCCAGCCTAGAACTCGTAATTAGGTATCACCTCTGGTACGGTCTCAACTTCCATTTTGTACCATTTAATGAGAATTCCAGCCACCAAATAAACGAAGAGTAACACAAAGAATCTGGAAAAAAAGTGTATATGTAAGACTGATACAGTTAATAAACAAATTTTATGTTACAAATGGAACGGGCCCCAAAATATACCTCCTTAAGGGAGGAATACGTTGAAAATCTTGGTTTGACGTAGTCTCCTTTGGAGCCGTTATAAGGGTCGTCACGCAACGCTCCTCCCCACCAACGGCGTTAATGGGGAGGAGCGTTGCGTGACGACCCTAATAACGGCTGCGAAGGAGACTAGGGTTGACGGTGTAGTATCAAGTTTCAGTCTGTTCAAACGTGTTTTAACCAGCACCATGAAACATTTTGTCTGTTCTTAGCTGGGATTCGTTACGTGAAAACTTGTTTGCAAACATTTGAACAGCTCACCCAATAATAAACTGGATAAGTGTATGCCTTATTATCTTAATTAATGATGATGATGATGATGATGACGATAATGATAATTATGATGATGATAATACCAGGAAAATTTGCACAACAACAGAAGATATACAGGAAAGAGTTTTCTTCATTGTCCTTGACAACACACCTTAATGTTGTTGATTTAAGGGCTAAAAACATTGTTTGGGTCGATCATTCATCTGTCATCATGTCGTTAGAAAAACCCCGCCGTTCTGAAAGCGTCATAACACCTCTTGAATACTATGAAAGAGGCTTGGGGTTTTCACTGACGTTCCACTAGATTCCACTTTGCATGAACAATAAGCTAAGTGGGGTTTCCCATGCTGCTAACGTGTTGGACGATATTTAATTGGTTCGTTCAAAAAACCCCACCGAATCCGTTGAAATCTGTTTTTATGCAAATATTATCCATAGCCTGGGTCCGAACAATATGTCCTGCAGCTTTGGAATGATGAAATTGACACTCATACCCACCTAATGCGAAGTAAAATTAGCAGTTTAACGTAAATGTAAGTATGATATCTCGCTATCCTTGACTGGCAACGAATTTTTGAATTTTATTGATGGGAATACATGTCGCATTAACATTTTTTATAGAAAGCTTCTCTCCATGAGTAGATTTATCTCTGCCTGAATACGAGACCATGCATTACAAAGCAAAATCACGTCATTATAGCACATCTTTCTTCACTACTTAGTTGCGGCAATCACTTTTGAAAGGATGAGCATTATCGGTTACTTACACTATTTATATAATACTTCCAGTACTGAGTCCATTGCTGTTTTGAGCAGGATTATCGTTATTAGAGGCACAAGCGTCATCACACGCGCATTTTGTAGAAAACACCATACTCTGTAATTGAAAACAAAAGTCAGTTAAGTTTATAACTGTGAAATGCTTTACTGTATTATATCCCACATACATTTACGAAAGAAAATACTAAAGCTAAGATAAACATGTGCTGATTCGATCGTGTGTGATAAATCATGTTAGAAGAAATGCGGGCTGTCTAGACAGTACAATTTTAAAATGGTTTTGAAAAGACCAAGGGAGTGAATTCTGCAGTCAACTGCCAAATTCAGAAAAAAAATGAAATGGTGTTTTAATTACAGCATATATTGTCTCGGGTGAATTTTGTCGCATACAAATAACTATTTTTTCTTTCTACAAGTAACTGAACAGGCTATGAAAAACTGCAAACACCCTGCTTTTCCACGAACTTAGCCTGACTATCACGTGTTTCTGAGGAGAGAGGAAAATTAGTAAACAAAAATGGGACACAGTGAAGTCAAGGTACGTTGATTTGACATTCACGTGGGCATGCGCAGTATATGTTTTTGGTAGGTCAACCGCTGTTCAAACAAACCGTTTCACAGGTTGTTGTACGGTTTCCAGGATACTGCATACATTGCGCATACGTAGTTGACAATTTTCTTTGTTTTGAGTTGCCTTAAAATACTATGGTGTTAGCATTCTCCTCTTCAGCAGCACTTTAACATGATACCATATGTTTAATATGTAGCCAGCTTTTCATAGCCACTATACTCCACAGAGCTGGTTCAAAGATGACCGCCTCAAAGTAAATGGTTTTTCATTTTAAAATAAAGCTAACTATCATTCATACATATTTTGAAGCTTTGTATGTGTAATCTTCTGTAACACCATCTGTGTAGCCTGGAAACTTGTTAGGATCACATTTTTGAGTAATTTTGAAGGTCCTGAAATAAAATAAATGATTTTAAACATCACTGGGTAAATTGTCTACTCTAATCTTCACATCAAGTCAGTGTTTCGGTTGAAACGAAACTCAGCAACTCAAATCAAACACTACAGTTTCATTATAAATTCACGCCGATATTCATATGAACATCTTGGTATTTGTGTGATGACGTGTTCCACAGTATTAACATGCACATGCTTTTTATTTTGTTTATGAATTAATTTATACCAAGATTTCATCATGAATTGCACAGCAAGAATCCACTCTCCGGCAAAATTGAGCACCATAATTGGTGAAAATTATGTTATACATAACAAGAGAGAATAAAGGGGACAGAGAAGGCATCCCCATACACACCCTATTCCATAGGTAATTTACCTCGAGTTATTTTTAAGACACACAGATCCCAAGAGGGATGAGGCAACAGCCAATCACATAGCGCGAATGTGTTCCGCGTGGATGACCCACGCTCAGAGCTACGCGTTCTTCACGAATTGACGCAGAAAAAATGGCGGAAGACTCGGAGAGCGATATATTTCTATTCGTTTTGTCGACGAAAAAAAAGAAAAGAAATTCATGCAAGGGAAAATGCCAAGAAAAAAAATTCATGCAAAGAAGAAGGTATAGAAAAAAAATTCATGCAGAAGGAAGGTCCAATTGTGACTTTTTCAGAAAGTCTGAGTTTCAGAAATCAACAATCTTACCAGGCACAATATGAATAAACAAAAATCACTTTCTTCTTACTGAAAGGAGACAATTAGAACCTTGTTTTTGTTTTAAATTGCAGCTAGTGTACCTACAACATACACTGTATACTGTATTATAATGAAAACAATAAAATAAAATTTGTAATAAATAAATATTAGAATTTGGTAAATAAATAGTGACAGGCCATTCACAGATGCCGCAAGCGTGGTGCATGAATGTAATTACTTATCTACACGTAGTGTTAAAGAGATTAACTACAGTTTGGCTCTAACCAGTATATCTCTTAATGAAATGCCTCTCTTATAAGAAATAATTGGAGGTTCTTTAAACATTTCTTTAAGTTTAGGTTGTGATTCCCTAAGATGCCATTTCTCCATTAAAAATTATGTGTTTAAGGTAGGCACAAATGGGTTGTATTGCGTTACAAGGGGCAATATTTCTTTTTGCACTCTTGTATTATCCGTAAGAGCTTTCTTTCTGTGAGAGAATTTTACTTCCGAGAGTGTTTTGTCTATAAGGTTGTTCACGTAGCCTCTCGCTGGAAGGCGTAGTTTGAATATTCTTATGCTTTCTACGAAAGTCTCCTCTGAAGAGTTAGTTCTTAGTAGTCTCAGGCCTTCACCTTTTACGAAGCCTTTTTTGACTCCGGGTGGGTGACATGGTTAATAAATAGTGACAGGCCATTCACACGCTTGCGGGATCTGTGAATGGTCTGTCACTACTTATTTACCATACTAACTCTTCAGAAGAGACTTTCGTAGAAAACATAAGAATATTCAAACTACGCCTTCGAACGAGAGGCTACCCGAACAACCTTATAGACTAAACACTCTCGGAAGTAAAATTCTCTCACAGAAAGAAAGCTCTTAAGGATAATACAAGAGTGCAAAAAGAAATATTGCCCCTTGTAACGCAATACAACCCATTTGTGCCTACCTTAAACACATTTTAATGGAGAAATGGCATCTTATAGAATCACAACCTAAACTTAAAGAAATGTTTAAAGAACCTCCAATTATTTCTTATAAGAGAGGCATTTCATTAAGAGATATACTGGTTAGAGCCAAACTGTAGTTAATCTCTTTAACCGCTACGTGTAGATAAGTAATTACATTCATGCGACACGCTTGCGGGATCTGTGAACTGTCACTATTTATTTACCATTGGCTGGGGGAGAGGAATTCCAGAGGGCAGGGACTGAAAAAATGCGCAGGGAAGCCGTCCACTCCAAGTGGCTTCCTCCTCTCTCACTGTGTGTACATTTTCGAAAAGATTTTGCATTAAAGTGGCCTGTATCCTTTGATCTTTTGTGAGTGTAGAATAATTTATAAAGCACAAAAACATAGATAATGAATCAAGATTTAACTGTTCAAAAAAAGCAATATTTGTCTGAAAAAAAAAATTCGTGCAGAGGGGTTCACCTGAAAAAAAAAATTCCTGCACAAGCAGTGAGCGAAAAAAAAAAAATTCGTGCAAGCTGAAAATTCCCCACCCCCCCCCCATCACTTTTCTAATGGTCCGTCCCTAAGTAACACTTATATAGCGCTACCCTGTAAAGTTCATTAGCGCTTTACAATAAAATTATAGTTATGTAGAATTATTGCCCCTGCAGGGATTTCGCCCAGAGGCGAAATCCCGAGGAGGCACCCTAGTAACTCGCGCGTATATTAAGGACAGTACTTACAGTTCAAATATACAGTCAGTATACTAGAAAAAATCTCGATTTGCTCGAACTGGGGCCGCGAGGAATCGGTAGGTAATGATGACGTTTCTATTGTTTGCGCCCGCAAGTACGAAATGGTTAGGATGACGTAACGACAGAAAATCCCGAAGGGACCGCTCAGGTTGATTTTGTGACATTTATTGTGCAGTCATACTTCGATACTCTTTTGCGTTACGCAGTGACATTCTGTGGAGCAGTTGCTTTTTAAAGTTATGGACCAAAAGACACTCGTTAAGCGCAGGGGAGGTTATAAGGTGCGTTTAACTGTGTAGATATATAAACACTTGGAGAGTTTGCCGGAAACGAGTTCACAAATCTTTGATTTATATTGGAAACCTTGCCAGACACTCTTTCTCTCTCTTTGACCGGAATAAGACTCAGCCCCAAACAAGCAAGACGAGTGAACAACGGCTATCACTAGCAGATTGATTGAGATTTACAGAAATTCGCCGACAATCAAATTCTGTGTTGACCTATTCCCTGCTCACAGATGTCCTTCCGTTACAAAGTTTCAAATAAGACTAGAATGCGCTAGCGTGAATCGATCAAACGTCTTTTAATTTCTAAGGCTTACTTTCCAGCAAATAATATGAACTGAATGTAAAAAGGGAAAGAGAAATAGCGAAAAATTCAACTTCTAATTAAATCTTTTCTTATGGTTTAGAATAAACTATTCTCGAAACTGAGAATGTTTTGATCAAAGCTGTGTAAATCGAGCTGAAACTGTGCATGGAACCTTGCGTTTCCTGTATTTATCTCACCTATTGTATGAAATATGTGTGAAAATCTTCATTATGAATCGGTATATTTCAAAGAGCTACACAACCAGCAAGAATACTATTGACCGACAACATACAAAACGGGGGCAGCTGTAGTGTCAACTATTACTAGTTAAAATAATAAATGGATAAGTAAATCAGCAATAGAAAATTTACATGTTAAAAAACTATTTTAAATAAATGTGTTTTAAGTTTTTTCTCAAAAGAGGTTATAGAAAATTTTGAATGGTCTCTAAGCCTACGTGGGAGAGAATTCCAGAAAATGGGTGCTGCAACTGAAAATACTCTGAGACCATAACTTTTCGGGTGGGATTGCTCATGTGCTAAGTAGTGTTTTGAGGTTGATCGCAGATTGCGGTTTGGTGTATGAGTGAATTAAATCTTTAAGATAAGCAGGAACAGTGTCATTTAGACATTTAAAAGTCATCAGCATCCAGTAGGATTTTATTTTGGATCCTGAACCGCAACAGGTAGCCTGTGTAGTAGTTTTAGCACAGGTTTAATAAAACAACGTTGCGGCCATGATGGCGCGAAATTACTTTAAACTTGCTAACTTCAAACTTGGTGCTAAAGTACCTTTTGTAGTAAGTGGCCCTCTCAATGGTTGGCTTATAATTTATGACGGTATTTCCATCGGTGTCTGATTCGAAACTAGCAACAGAGTTAGCGCATGGATGGGTTTCCCGTGCATTCGGAAGCGTCTGACAAATCTAAGTGGGAAAATGAAGGAAGTTGTTAGGTGATAGTTTTCCAGTCAACTCGAGTTATTGCGGGTCCACACACTCTAGACCGTGAGCTGACGTCTTATATCCTCAGAGTTATGAGCGTCTATAAGTGAAGTGAAAAGTTATAAGTAAACAATTTGTGATAAGAAATCCTCCTTAAACTAAATATCATAATAAAGAATCAAAGAAGCTGGGAAACAAGCCGTCCAAATTAGATTTAATTGAATTCTTCGACTTCGGCATTTACGCAGATCCTTGGCTAATTGATTGCAAATAAATGCACCATTATAAAACCCAATTGCTTTTTTTCGTCATATAGTCAGCAGCTCCCGTTATTGCGGACACCCTCGGGACCGCGGTTTAGTGTCCGTAATAGTGGGGAGCGCGAAAAAAATTTCTTGAAATTAGAGGGATTACATATATTTATGTTGTAATTGCAGCGCAATTTTTGCATATAAAGAACTTTAAAGTTGAAACTCGCAAAGAAATCTGGATACACTCGTCCAACATTGTTTTGTGGGATGAGCGGAGGGGTTGGGCCTGTGTGAATTGGAAAACGCCCAAGAAATGCAAAAGTGTCCCAAGACTTTTGTCCATGATTATAGTTCTGAGCCCAGACCCTCCCAAACAACGTTGCCATAACGGCTGGATAAAAGACGGTTGTCCATTGTCTGGAGGGTCGAGAGGTGAACAAACTGTCTCACAAGTGTAAGAGCTCCAACTGCGCTGATTAATTTTTAGATGTCTCTTCTATATGTGTTGCCCATGTAAGCGCCTGATTGAATGTATACACCCAGGGTTTTGGTAGATGTTACTTTAGGTACATTGGCGCCTCCAGTGATGGTCAAGACATACGAGAAGAACTCTGTCTAGATCCTACAGACAAAACTTCTGATTTTGCTGTGTTCAGACTCAATCTCTATTCATCTTAAATTTGATTTCATCACTGAATTTTTTAAGAGGGTCTCAATAGGGTGGTGGCAATTACGGTTATCGGCTAAAATTTTGGCTCTTTTACGGCTATCGGTTAATTTTTTTCAGTTACGGTTAACTATAAAGTTAAAAATTAATTTCTTTGTTTCAAAGAGTTAAATATTAATAAACCTGTATTTTTTGTATCTTTAAAGCAAAATATATGTCTTAGGATCATCTCGGGTTGAAATGAGTCATTCTTCTGAAAAATTTTTTAATTTCATGAATCATGCTTTTAGAGTTAATTCCACTTCTGATGTCATTTTACGCATAGAAATGTTAACTATGAAAACGTTTGTCATCTTTTGCATCTTGGCGTGATTTCGTTTTCTTAAGGGGCTACTGATTCGTTCTTCGCGTCGCTTTGTATTTGCTACCCTCTTCTCTTTTTACTAGGGTCTTTACCCCACTGAAGAACAGCTTGTACAAAAAACTAAAAAAGAACAAGCATACAGATTGAGACTCGAACATTTCTGTGACTCTCACATTTACAAGTGTCGGAGCCAAGCTGAGAAGTACGCGGCTTTGAAGATCTTTGCCGCAGTTTTCTCATTCTCTTAAAATGAGATGAACTCTTTGTTTAAAATAGAAACAAAAGGTTAAGCTATTGCCAGTCAACTAAAATTTTTTGTGAGCCATATAATAAAAGACAGACAAGACATAACAGTTTATTTGAATAGAATCTTCGGGAAAAGCAAAACTAGCAGAAAAGGGAACGTAAAGAGCCGATTGAAAGTAGTCGCGAAATAGGAATCACAACCGTTCTAAGTGAGTTTAGCACCTTCCTCAAATTATCAAATCTAAGGAGCAAAATTTCATACTGATGACGTAAATTAATCAGTTTACATAATAAATCCGGTAGCTAAAACAACAATCCGTCCACCAGTTAGCGCTTCTGACCGGATTCCGGGCAGATTTTGTGTCACCAGTATGGAATTTCTGTCGCTCAGTCGCAGACGTTCCTCCTCAAGAACCGTTCTTCAGCGGCGATGAGCGAGGAGAAACGTCTGCCGTTCGCAGGCTATTAAATGAAAGGGTAGGGAATTCAGCGGAGGAAAATCTGACATTTCTGTTAACAAGGTTGAGATTACCCACTTCTTTATTTTTGCAGAAATCACGTCCGATATCCGATTGGACGGTCAACAGTTGATAAAAACAAAGGTTTCTATTCCGCGTGTCACCGGGAAATTTTCGCTTTCAGGATCGAACGTTACGTCAACGACACGCTTTTTTGATTTCGATACGCATGGGTTATTAGACTGGACGTTTTTAAAGGCCAAATATTGTGCCAATCTAGCGAGAAGTTTAGCAGGTAAGCAATTGAAAGATTAATTCACACCGATAAACATTTTAGACCTCACACTCACTTAAAACAAACTGATTTATACCCGCATAGTCAGTCGGCTACTTGGCCAGGTCAGCTGTACATAGCAAAGAAGGCGCTTGGTTTGTTAATTATATACCAATTAAAAGCACCCTAACAATCCAGAAGCAATTAATCGATAAAAATCGATATCTGAAATTAAGCGATATTATTTAATCCGCCGATTAATATCGTTTGATATCGGAAAAAGATAGAAATCGCCGTCACAGAAAAAATAATTTATCGATTATTATCGATTAACAAAATTGATTAAGATTGATATGAATCGATAGTAATCTGTAACTATCGATGAATAAATCATCATCGATTTTTATCGGAAAATCATCGACATTAATCGAAGTCACAACTTTTTCTTTATCGATTTCTATCGATCGATATAGGAAATCGATATTCATCGATGATCGACATCGATTATTATCGATTATTATCGTTTATCGTTTTATCGATTAACTACGTCTGGTGCACACAGGACCTGCACACTACCTGAGGCAGCCAAACTTTCAGTCATAAAAGGGGTCAATAACGTGGGTCAACAGTCGATGCCACCATATCACGTATCAGTAAATCAGTACAAGGAAACGTAACACAAACACACAGGAAAAAGTAATCTAGGACGGAGCATAATAAAGAAAAACTGAACTTGTCTTTCTTCCCAATCGAAATGGTTCAAAATTTTTCTTCAATTACCATATAAGCTTAAAAGCGGCATCTGTTTATACGATTCTCTGTTCGAGCGACAGAAAAGTAAGTTAACGCAAGACTGAAGTAACCCCATCCCACTTATTTCATGGAGTTTGAACAAAACTTGAGCATTCAAAGGGAGCTACTTTGGAATCGACAGTACATTTCAGTAGCTTTAAGTTTTTGCTTATTTTTAAATGGTTTAAACGTTACTATAGTTGACTCACGCAGGTCCCTTTGCACCTCCAGCGACGTCTCTCAGACTTATAACTTTCCCGTTGCTTTTTCTGCACGAACAGACGTCGATCTTTTCACATGTTTCCGCAAAAATCCCAACAAAAATGAACGTGAAAAGAAACCAGACGATAACGGAAAATTTTGCTTGACTGCTATGTTTCCTCTCCATGTGGTAAAATTCCTCGAAGCTCTAAAACATCAAACAACAAGGGAAGTTTTTATCCTCGTCGCGTGACCTCTAACAGGATAGGGATATTGGGGACAGGACAACTGACAAGACATATGAAAAAAAATGTGTTCTCTGGCGTTCCCGTATGTCATGATTTTAAGGGGGTCCTAAAGGGTAAAATGAGAACTGGGATTTGGGTCACTTGGACTAAGATTGTGGGGGGGCGGAGGAATCGTTCCACCCACGTTTGAAGGCAAAATTGAAACTATTGTGGGGGTGTGTTCGAGCAACTCGATCGCTACACGATGAGGTACCAGTGATTTACATCTTGGCCTTTATTCTTCTTTGACTTCTGCTAACAATGTTAATCTTCCTACTCTTCTAACTCTTTTCTACTTTTCTACTCTTCTCTACTTACTAGTTCAAGTATAGTAGCGGTTTTTATAGCCAAAGCTGGACATGTTTGGCCACCGACACTGAGGTGAATAATTGTTTTAGTATATACTAAAGCAGTGAGATAATTGAGCACAAAAAGTGCAGGATATTCACTGACTGAGTAGCCAATCAGAGCCCGCGAAAAACACTATCCACTGTTTTAGTATATACTAAATAGATTTAGCCAGGGTTAAAAGCGAAGCGTTCGATAATAGTTATAGTTTGTTCAAACAAAATATAAAATCGCGTAATGCTAAGCGGTGAAGGCAACGCCGGAGAACGGTGAAAAATAACAATAGGTTTAATTAGCATAAAAGCAACTTTGCATGTGCAGCACACTTTCTTTGTACATTTCTTTGCCGTGGTTTTGCGCGACTACAACGTGACACACGTTTTATGGAGGAAATTTCGTACGTGTTCGTTCATAGCGTGCGTAGCAAGCGTTTCCCTGCGGTTTAGAAGCAAAGAACGAGGAACGAGAGTCAAAGACCGCGCGAAAAATGGCACAAGTAAAAGAGCGGAGAGGGGGTGGGGAAGAAAGGAAGGAAACGCTTGCAGACAAACCCCGGGATTTTGAAACCCGTCCACTTGGCCTGCCATGCCTGAGTGCGCGCACCTACATTTGATGCTGTCAACAGCTGTCGATTTTAGTTATTCAGATCCAAGAGGTACTTCGGAGAATAAATTAAACGACCTGATACCCTTATTTAGTCGCAAGAAGGGTTTTGCGTTTAAAAGAAGGAGAGTAAATCTTGCCGACCAGACTAAACAACAATCACAGCGTGTGTGTCACGTACCATAAATGACCTCTCAGTATGACACAAACCTTTGATCGACACATACAATATTGTTCGACTAGCCGAGCCAATCAGTCGCTGCCAGCGAACGCAGGTTTTCAAAATCGAGGGGTTTGTTTGCAAGCGTTTCCTTCCTTCCCCTCCCCCTCCCCCCTCTTTCATTTTTTGGCTCTCATTTCATTTCTCGCGCGGCCAAAACCGGTCTTTCTTTGCTCCGAAACCAAATGGAAACACTTTCCAGTACGCAGGCTATCTCGTTCACTTTTTTTCCACTGCCGCTCATTTTCACTTCGCATTGGTGGCCGCTAGCATTTCTCACTTTGTCACCGCGGCCACAAAATTTTCATGTTACTCTTCCAGCAAAAAAATGTCTCTTTTGTTTTTTATCTCTTGCTCTAGATCTCTGTCGCCCTTTTTCTCGTTGAGCTTCCCTGGCCGCCGCTTACTTTCACTTTTTCTCTGTCCTTCTCTTGCTCTATATTCCAAATTTGTGGACAATGAATCGAAGGTTAATACTTTAGACAACACGGACACAGAAACAATTTCCGCTTTCCGTTTTCGTCTTTATTTACTCTTTAGTAAGCGATTTCCCGCCAAAATAACCGCGAGTTGCATTTGGGTCGCCATACCTGTTGATTGAGTTGTCTTACAATGGTATGCCTGTGGTGAGGACGGACAGACGGTCGGGCGGGCGTACGGTCACGTGATTACCAAATTTTATCGGAGGGGTAGATTACTTCATTTTCTTACCAATGGTGCTCCGCTGCGCCCGCTTCGCGCGCGAGAACTCCTCTACCACTTAACATTCTTTCTCCTCTTCCCATTTTTATAACCTCCCCTTTAGATAATTATCCACAGTCCCTAAGTATACCGTTTAAGTACTATTCAAAAGGCTCTAATCTGTCTTCGAAAAACCTCACAAGTTTCTGTTCATTGTTAGTGGATACTTATTTAGCCTAAAGCCAGTAACTTTCCAGTTGCTCAGTTTTGGCACGAACAGTTGTCGATCCTTTCACATGTTTCCGCAAGAGTCGAGCCGAGGGTTCACAAAAGAAATTTTACAGAAAAGGGAAAATTTTGCTGCCCTGCACTGTTCCCTATCCATCGAGTAAGAGTTTATAAACCGGTCAAGCAGCTAAAGAAAAATCACGTTTTAATCCATGGTCTTGCATGCGTGACCTCCTCTTCCCGGGTTTGTTTGGGTAGCGCAACCTTGTCAGTTTCATATACCGGGAAAAACCCGATCGTATGGAATAGCCGGATCGGAACCAGCCTCCCACCCAGACTTTCTTAGGGGATCGTCATGCGTTCCTGCCTCACAAACGTCTGCTGCCTCGAGCGGTAAGAAACGTAGACCAATCACAGCAGACTTCCAGATCCGCCATGGGAAGTGCACTTTGCACCTTGACTAGAAATTTCTCGAAAGACTCAGCTCCAAAAAAGATCAGAAAGCTCTTGCAAGGTGAAGACCTTATAGTTTAAACTACTCAGTTAACTCACACGCCTTCGTAGTAGAGACAGCCCTCACGATCTCATTGAAGAAATTACTTCGCAGGTTTAATTTGCTGAACGGAAGTCGGCCACTACAAAGTAATAAAGTGCGAAAAAAAATTCTGCCTTTTGTTCAGTTACAACGTACAACCCCCGCCGTTGCCTCACCCACAGAACAACTTAATGAGCAAATGACATCTTATCCACCCTTTACAAAAAGAAATATACAAGACGCCAACGCTCATCTCCTGAATATTCTTGTCCGAAGCTAAACTCTTTGGTCAAGTAATTCTCTTAAAAATGCTGTGGTTTTACCGTTTAACTCCTCTCTCTATATAAACTATGAGAAAGATCGCATCTATATCGAACCACGTTGTCAGACCCACGTAGACCCGGTCACCCGGATCGTACAAAAAAGCCACAAAAAACTTGACGCTTCCGGTTTAAATTCGCCACCACTCCCAGGCGAAGATAAAATTCCCCACTCCTCTGGGCACATACAGGTGTATACATGGTATAGAGTGTTTTCACATGACGTCACGGCGGCCATATTGGTGTCCCAAAACAATAAAACGGCGGCCATGTTGGTGTCCCAAACCAGTCCTGTGGGAGTTGAACTCCTTTCTTATGCAAACGCTTTCTTTTGTTCCAAAAAATTTGCATATATGCTAGCCACGTGAGTGAAAACACTCTATACAGGATGTATATTAAAGGGTATGTGACTGGTATGTGACTTAGTATATTTCTTTAAGAGATATGATAATAGGGAGTCTATATGGGGACTACCATGAATTAGTAGCCAGCGTAGGGGTGTTTAAGTTTGCATTTGGCCCGTGATCCTCGTTACTCTCGTGACTCTCGTATTGCCAGTCGAAAAATTACTGATATTTCAGCTGATTCACAGGATTGAATCATTCGGGTCGTGATTCTGGCGATTCTCGTGATTTTCGTATGGCCCATGAACTTCTATTGTCATATCAGCTGATCATTTCCGGGCTGATTCACTGGATGAAGGTATAAAACAACAGGGCGAACAGGGCAAGATGGTGGAAGAGCTGACTGATCGTGATAACTCTGAAATGCCTTGTGGCTATGATGAGGACTTTGTGAGTCCTATTGACGAAGATCTGCAATGTTCAATTTGTTATTTGGCTTTACGAGAACCGGTTCTCACCAGATGTGGTCACAGATTCTGCAGGGAATGTCTCGACCGACACATTGCGAGGTTTGTTACTCTTCTTTTTTTTTTCGCTTAAAAAAAAAAAAGTAATAATAAACCCCCATTAAATTGGTGCTCTATGGATCGAGAATTAATGTTTCCTTCGGGTCAGTGGTTTTGTTAGGGGCAAATGCAGCTGCTCGAGATGAAAATATTGCGGTTTATGTTTACCCCCGCGGGGCACTCGTTTGAAGTCTGGGTAGAGCTGTGCCGCCGAGGCCTTCAGCCCTCGACCCTGTTTAAGACAAAAAATTACAGGGGACGCTACTTTCTAACCCTGATTTGTTTTGTTTTGCTTTGCATACAGAATTAAGCAATTTTTCGCACTAAAATCGTGGAAAGAGTTATTTAGGAAAAAGAAATATTGGTATTGCAAATGTCGATCGCTCATGCTTATCGCAAGTCTTCACACTCTTTGAAAGGCTTTTAGTCCAAAAAGACGCTCTGTGACCCTTAATAGTGTAATTTTATACCCTGAAGACTAAAAACCTTCAAATCTATACCCTGTTTTGCAGCACATACCCGTATCGGCCAAATAAGGTAGTGCCCCCCCCCCCCCCACTGGGGTTTATTCTCTGTTTTTGTTTTAAATGTCTCCTTTAACCTTATCAGTGATATAGGATTGTGAATAATCTGAATTGATGTCTTAATACTTGACTTATTCATAACCTTAATTTTCCCTTAATTTTTTACTTCTTGCTATCCAATGACTGGGTTTCATTGCACATTTGTTTATTGCTGCTTTTACTTTTTTTATTGTTTATTTACATTTTTTATTTAACGTTTGACCACCACCAGTCTTATCATGTTGCTTAGCGAAATTTGTATGCCCTCATTGATTTGGATCATGTTTTTTTTTACAGGTATTACTGTACTTTTCAAGCTGTAGAAAGTGAGAGTTTTTTAACTGTATTTATGGTCAACTAGCTCAGATAAGCAGATATCGCTAAGGTATTCCTAATTTTGCCCATGTGAAAAAGAACTGTTGTCTCCCAATAACTCGAACCCTCACTAACTCAAAACTTGCACTAACTCGAACCAAATTCAATTTCCTTCATACAATGTAATTTTACCCTCGGTAACTCAAATCCTCGATAACTCAAACCCCCACTAACTCGAAGAAATTTTTGTTTCCCTTCAGATTATTTATACAATTTTACCCTCGATAACTCGAACCCTGTTTTGAGCATCTGACAAGTTGGAAAAAAAAAACGGTGTACTAGTATATAGAAGTAAAAGTACCAAATTTAATTCAAAACAACTGTGTCAATTCTTTGTCATTACTTTTTTTGTTCTCGGCCCGTTCAAATTCAGCCTCCATCCCTGTGAAGTGTGCATGATACTTGCATTCCCTCCTCATCTATTTGCTTATTTGCCTACTTCTGGTTATTTGCTTCGAACTCCTGATTAACTCAAACTTTGTTCGATTTCCCTAGAAGCTAAGGTTTGAGTTATCGGGAGTCACCTGTATTTTCACAGGAATGATCACTTCTTGGCTCAAATTAGCATTATTTCAGGATCAATACTTTCCTAGAAAATCTTCAATTTTTTTTGTGTTTTTAAGTGTCAAGGGTACATCATGTAGATTAAAAATTTTTATCAACAGGCAGAAAAGTCAACAGCAAGTTGTCAACTGTCCTGTTGATCGAGAGGGGCTTACACACTGTAAGGTAAAATATCACATTGTAGAAACTAGTTATGAACCGATTGCTATATACATAATGAGATATAGCTACTTAAAACCTATTTCTGAAACTCTCATGATGCAAATGAGTTCTGGCCACTCAGAAAAGAGAACTATGTGTTTTACACATAAGAAGAGTTGTAGGTGCAATCAGAGTAATTATTGTCAACAATGTTTTTTAACAAGTGAGAATTAAAATAGTACACCCAATGAAAACGCACAGAGGTGTGTGTGTGTTTTGCGCCAAGTGCCGTGCTTTGCCAGTTGCTTCAGCTATCATTGAATGAGAATATATATTTACACCACAAAATGCCATAAATGCTACCCTCTACTATTAATGTCATTTTCCAGATATCATATATGTCTTCCAAATTTGGTCATCCCTTGTTATATACACATAAACCAGTTAGTCTCAAGCAAGAATTAGAGATGCCAGGACAAGTTGGGTCATTTCATATCTCCCTATTTGAAGGTCCGAGCCAATCAGAAATGTTTTGAATATATACAGTAATAATACTTCTTGGATATGATGTGTATGTTAATTACAGGTCAAAATTAAGTTCAAACCTAAGTTCTCAATCTCCTTTGTTTCCAGCTAGCCCTAATTATTCATGACTTAGGGCCAGGACACAAAGGAAATTCAGAATCAACCTAGGTTACAAAATTTCTACCTGAATTTAATTTTAACCTGTAACATGTAGATTCTGATTGTGCAGACGATCGTTATCTTAATGTGAGGAAAATAATTTATGACAAAAATAATTCAGGAAATTATATTTAAAATGCAAAAAATGATCAGATGATATAAATCTGAATAATTTTTTGTAGGATATCTTCCCTGATAAAGCAACTGGGAGGAAGATTCTGTCCTTATTCATAAGATGTCCAAATACTGGATGTGATTGGACTGGTGAACTGAGAGAGAAAAAGGTGAGAATCTCCATTTATACATTGTGAATTTATTAGCCATAGCCAGCTTTCACATTAAAATGAGCTAAGCAACCAGGCTACTTTGAATTTTTGTTAAGTCGTGGGAGGGGGGCGGGGGAGGAGGAGGTGTACTCAAGAAAGTTTTATATGCATAGCCTCTGTCCCGATGCCCAACCCTTTACCCTTTTACATACCAGTTTTGACAGAAAAGGTTCCCCTTTCGTAGAGGGTTAAAGTCCAATACTCCGACAAATTTATGCATGGCATTGTATTATATTGTATTCACAATACAATATTGTACAAAGGCATAACAATAAGGAACAAAGCAAAACAAAGAGAAAGTTAACAATGCCATGCATATATTTGTTGGGGTATTGGACAGTATGCTAACAAATGTTAACCGTTTCACATACCTAGTTTAGAACTTTGCGTCCCTTTTAACTGCTGTAAAAGCAATATCTTTAAAATAGGAATAAATCACAAAACCAGAACATTTTCTAGACTTTTTCACAGCCATAAAATGCATCATATATGCATGCATCTGTTTCCCTAGCTACCCTTTCATATTCTTGAAGCCAGTGAAAGGTACCCCTTTTGGGCAGAGCCACCCCTTATAGGCCATCATAGAGGGTGTTTCCCCTCCCCCAGGATGTTGAGTGAACAAATGAAGAGTAAAATTTTGAATTTGAATAATTTAGATTGACTATACTGTGGCAGGATTAGCCTGCGTAGCAGGCATTGAAATGGGTAGGGGATAGGGGGGAAGGGAAAAAGGGAGGAGGATTGGGGAGACAGGGTAAGGGAGGCTCCCTTCCCTTTCCTCCACTTTCACTTTTTTCTCTTTCCCCCTCCCCCTCCCCTTTTTGCACCTGCCACACAGGCTATGGCAGGACCGGTGTACTAGTCTTCCATGATCACTAAAAAATTTGAACTAGCTGGGTACATAAAAGAGTAGGTGAATGAGGCTTGTTTGTTCAACCTCGTTCCCAGGGTTCTCTCTCTTGCTTCGAGAAAGAACCCTGGTTGCCGCTGGTCATGTGGAGATGTGTGTCAATAAATGGCGTAGTAGGTTTATGTCGATCCTTCACTAAATTTTGTCGACTGGACGATTTAATACTATCTGGGGCAGGGAGAAAACTTTTGTTTCAAAATGGCGCTTGAGTTTCTGCGTTGTTTGCAAACCACGTTGCTTTCGGCTAGTTCCGTAAAATTATTTTGAAAGAAAAACAGGTTATTTGAGAAAGAAAATGCAAACTTCATGTGTACATAAATCACCACCCAGGCGGCTTTGGTCAATTTATCGGCCGGTGCACGATATACCAAGTGAATAGCCAACGTCGTTCCCAGGGTTCTCTCTTTTGCATTATACATTACCTATACTATTTTTTTGGGTGTTGTCAACATTTTCAAATAATAAACGTGGTGGCAAACTCCTCTCGGGCCCGGACTGAATAGCCTTTGTCACAGTGACAATGATCTACTCTTCTTCCCCTCCCTTATTTTTGGCTCCCAGATTTTGGGAGCCACGTGACCAGCCGCAACCAGGGTTCTTTCTCGAAGCAAGAGAGAGAATCCTGGGAACGAGGTTTTTGTTTGTTTACCAAAGTTGCTTGGGCCATACTTCCCATGATGACATCTGGTGTTCAGTCCAGTACAAGTATTTATTCTATAAAGCAAGATGTGGACAGTTTTTTATCTTATTCCCTTTACATCAAGACAAAATAACAGCTTGGATTTTTATTTTTCAAATATGTTGATAAACGAACACCTTACTTATTCTAATCATGAATTGGTATTCATAGGACAACTATATGAATTGACAAGGGAACCTGTAATAATAAAGACTGGCCATGAATAAATTATAATAAATTATAACTTGTTCCTCAACATACAAATGGCAACATGTGACCGTGCACGTGGGTAGGCAAATTTAAACAAGGCGAAGGTTAGTTAAAGGGTAATAAAATATATAGATCGTTTTCACTGTCATGCAACAAAAAAATAAATTAGAAACCGTCCAGTGGAAGACGCCGAGAAAATGAAATGTTACAGAAGACTAATATATAAACAATTTGTCCAAATCTCAGGTCTTTGTGGCCCACAGTTTCTGAGTTATTTGCCGAAACGTTCCACGCACCTTTGTAGAGCTTTGTATGGAGACGCCATATTGGTGTACCGTTTTGGTCCACCAATATGGCCGCCGGAAATCAACAAAAACATCTGGAGTTCACTTTTTCTATAAAAGCTCTTTCTTTTCACTCGAACACCAGCCTACGTGCGCATAAACATATCTTCTAATACTTTAAATGGTTATACTGCTGAAATCAAGAGGAGAGACTTTTTTTCAACGAGACAGCATTCCTGTTTCGGTGTCACGCACTGTGAAAAACTCGGAAGTTCAAATTGCTGTATTTTCGAAATGAAACATGCTACGGGAATGGAAACTTTATCTTCAACCTAGTGTAAATAAGAATTCGTAAAACCTGGTTGTTTTAACTCAACAATTTGATAACGTCACTGTGAAAACCTTCTATTGATATATAAACACCAATGAAATACCAAACCACTTTACTTAAATAGTTTTTTGGTCTGAAAGATGCGGTTTATTGTGAAGTCATAGCAACGGTGATATTTTCACATGTGAAGATAACATGTTATTTTCACAAGTGAAGATATCAAGTTTTCGTGCGAAAGCTCACTTGGTATTTCATTGGTGTTTATATAATAAGAAAACATGCGTCATGTTTATATTTTCATCTATGCAGAACCACTTTGATCATTGTAAAAGGAAACTGCTAAAATGTCCCAATGTCTGTGGATCATTTCTTGCTCGTAACAAAGTAAGTACATTCGACGTGTAAAGCCGAGGGCGATTTTGTACGTGATTTTGTGCGTAATTTTGTAGATCAAGAAGGTTCATTTACACATGACTTGTCGGTCTAAAATCTTTTTAGATCAAGTCTCACGTTGAAAACAAATGTCCGCTGACAGTGGTCCCCTGTCCTTATGCTCTGATGGGCTGTAAAGAAATGGTATGTGCATTGTTTACGCATATTGTGTCTGTGTTACTTTAGTTAAATGTTACCTTTATGGATGCAGGTACCTAAAACAAAAGAACTCGTTCATATAAGTCAAGGGCACCCAACGTCAATTTTTGGAAAATATCTGTTCGGAAGACGATTAGAGATCTAGAATTTTCGGGATATTTGCTGTAAAATTTCTTGCTTACCTGCCTCTCCTAGGATTTTCGAACATCTAAAAAATGGTATAATTGCCCATTTTTAACGGATTTTTACCCTAAAAAGAATTTTCGGGAGCTTTTTTTCTGGCTGAAATTTCCAAAAGGTAAGTTTTGATCCCTGTAATTTTCGGATCACTAGACTTTCAGCTAGGAAACCGGAACAGATGAAAAATTTCTAGGGGATAAAAATATGCCTATATCTACCGTTTAAATACTAAAATACGTTCAACAAGGCTATGTTTGTGTAGTTTTGAACTATATTCTCGTCGGGTGCCCCTCATAAGTCATGAAGAACACAAAAGACAAATGACTTTGAACACGGGAACTTGTAGCAGTATCTATCAGCGCAAAATGTTGCATTATTATATTCTATTTAACAAATAGAGAAGCTGGAGAAGCCCTGACTGTGCTGTGTTTAAGCGCGCATGAAGCGGCTAGAAGTGTAGGAGGAAACACGAGACGTAGTCGACTGTTTGTCCCTACTTCTTGAGTGTTTTACAACAAAACAGAGCACAGTCAAGGGTTAGATTCTTTATTTGTTTTAAGATAAAGAATCCGTTAAATATTAAATCAGCCAATCACAATCCTTTTAAGAATGGGCCAAATGATTTGATTGGTTGAATAAGACAAAATCGTTCAAAGCTGTCAGAGCACCAAAGCTACATGTATCATAAGGAGAAACTAGGAGGATTTTCTGTGAATGTCAATGCAAAAGAATGTACATTTGACGTCCAAAAATAAGTTTATGAAAGTAAAATAGTGCTTTCAATCTGGCACGTATTACGGCCCATGAAAACGTGGACGTCATTAACATCATGACAATTTGAAAACAAATTGCTTTAGCTTCGTATCAAAAAGTGCCCAAAAAACAGAGCCTGAGAGTAAAAATGTATAACTGAAGATTCGTTGACGCCTTTGCGATCGGGTTTGAGCTAATTTTATGAATGAACATACTCAAAACAATATACAGAGAAGTTATTTCTTTAAAATTTGTATTCAAAAACTAAGAAGTTAATCCTTAAAAGCAAGAAAATTCGAATGAGCACATGGCAAAATTCTACACGTTTGTGAAACATTAATACATACATAAATTCCCTTTTAAAAACGTAATTTTCTTGACCACAGAGTTAAAAAAATGTAACGCTGAAAGTCCTCGAAAACTTCGTTGCCTTGGTTGAATTTCAAAACAGGCTATTTGGTGCTTCGCCGTGAAGAAAATTCCTCGAAGGACAATTTCGTAACCAAAAGCTTTCCTTTGTTCGCAAAAAAGAAAACCGAGCATTCATTTGAACTTTCCCTTTTCATTTGTGTTTTTTTCCGGTGTATTTTTTACCCTGAATTGCGAAACTTTGTTCTTGTTTCAAAACCGCGGCATGGTGAGATTCACGAATGGCGTGACATCTTTAGCTCCTTGTTTTATACTCTTTTATAAAATAAGTAAGATAGTACGCGCGTTCTGATTGGTTAAAAACCTATGGTTTATTGTGCCGGTAAACTCATAGAAACTTTGTTCTTGTTTCAAAACCGCGGTATGGTGAGATTCACGAATGGCGTGACATCTTTAGCTCCTTGTTTTATACTCTTTTATAAAATAAGTAAGATAGTACGCGCGTTCTGATTGGTTAAAAACCTATGGTTTATTGTGCCGGTAAACTCATAGAAAACTTTTATTTTATAAAAGCAATAGATCACACTTTCTATGGGTTTACCGACTTGATAACCCACTTGGGATGTTGCCTTCGGCTCGTGATTTAAAAGCTATTTTCGTGTTCTCCCACCATCCCGCGTGGGTTATCACACAGGTAAACCCATAGAAAGTGTGATCTATTGCTTAAATAAACCATACTTTTTAAACCAATTTGTGTGCGCGTTATATTCTGAACTTTAATATTAAGTTGCATGTACTCGATAAGACGTTGAGTACGTGTAAATACCCGTATTCCGTTTTTACCAGTGTTTGGGGGCTGGAAGGAACATTTCTACTCAAGCATTTTTCTTAGAACAAACTTGACTCTGGCCATGAGGCGCAATTAAAGCGTTAAGTTATTAATTTGTTTTTGATGGTTAATAATCAGATTAAGCGAAACAAAGTTGAAGCTCATCTCCAGTCTACGGCGAGACTTCATCTGGCCTTAACGTGTTCAACATTTAAAGAAACGATGACGAAGCTTGATGAACTGCAGAAGCAAGTGGGAGAATTGAAAGAATCTAATGCTGCTCTCAACGAAAAACTTGAAGCAACTAATTCATTTGTCACTTCCAAGGTAGAAGCCCTCGTGTCCAAGGTGGATGCGCAAAACAGCGAACTGGCGACTTTTAATTCTGCTCTTAGTGCTCAGATCGATGCTGATAAGAGAGAGTGGAAAGCTGCCAATATCGCTCTGAATTCTAAGGTGGATTCGCAAGCCAAAGTGGTCGCGAGATTAACCAGTGCGTCTCCATTTGTGTGGAAGATAACTGGTTTTAGCGACGTCTTAAAGCTGGCTAAGAATGGAAACACTAAAAGTATATTCGCTGAATTCTACACAGGAAAACAAGGCTACAAGTTAAATGTACGCGTCGATCCAGATGGAGATCAAACAAACAAGAACCGATACCTGTCAGTATTTGTTGGTATTATGAAAGGCGATTACGACGCCATTCTTCCTTGGCCCTTTCGTGATGTAGTTACTTTTAGGGTTATCGACCAACAACCTGATGCCTCGCAAAGGAAAAATGTTGTAGCAGTATTGGAGCCCGATCAAACGCCCTGTTTTTCGGGTCGGCCTACGGTGGAAGAAAACCCCATGCTTCGAGGGTTCCGCAGGTTGATATCTCACAAGATGTTAAAAACCCGGCGCTATGTTGAACACGACACATTGTTTCTTCAGGTTGATGTAGGTCGCCATGACTCTGAGAGTAGCGATTCAGGTTCACATTCTGACTAACTTTCTTTGAGTAATTTCCACTTTAAAGAGCTATGACGAGTTACTCCATGTGATCGCGGGTTAAACATCTCACAACGTTTTGAACACCAAGCAACTGCTATAGTTTCTGGCATAATTAAAAAAATTTGGCAAATGTTAGAAGCAATTAAACACTTATGTGCGAGGTGTTTCGAAGAGCCTCAACGTTTTAAGAATTAAATTGCGATTATCTTAGAACAAAAACCAGACCCTATGGCTGCCATCGGTAAATCAATACTGTAACTTTATGTGCTCATATCCTTGTTCCAAAAGTATTAAACAAACTATTCAAACAGGGTAAACACGATCAATTGTTTTCGAGAACAAAGGAGAGACGAGACAACGTTAAACGAAAGCCTACATGTGAACCAAGGTTATGTCAGCACTTGTCAATAAGTTAACAGTGTTGGGTGATCAGTCCAGACGGTCTCAACATGATTTGCTATTAAAGCCTTTAGTTTACCAAAACCAGTCAGTCCGATAAACCAATCAGAATTTAAAGATAAATACTATATGCGTTTATTTCCGACTCTATGCGCCAATAAACACTGAGGAATAACGCCAACAATCTTGACGCGACGTAAGTTTGATTAAACAGACACAAGCCTCTAATAATTCTGTCAGTCATTACCAAAGTCCTTGCTTCTCTCTCCGCTAGAACTAAAAAAATGGACAAAATTACAATGCAATCTCAAACATGTAATAGTCGTCGGATCTCTTCAAAATCTATTTTGACATATAAGCGTCACGCATGCAGTCTCGAGTTGACCACTGCGTGCACCTACCAGCGAGATCTGACTAGTTTGCTTTTCTTCTTAATTGGTCGAGAAAGTGGCGCAAGTATCTTGGAAAAGTTCAACTGGGTATTTGTTGATACTCCATTGCTCCTTCCCATCAAACACTGCTGTTTCAAGAAATCACGTCGTCTCTTCTGGGCTTTGTTAAGAAATTACGTCTCTCTGATTCAAATTTTGACTTGAATTTTTGTCTATTCCGAATGTCACTATTTGAATCGCGTGTTATTGTTTAGTCTTAATTGAGTAGTTTTTGTGGAGAAGGGTGATGAAGTTGGTGGTTCCTTCCACGACACCGTGGAATATTTAACTAGTATTGGACAAGGTTGAGCAAAATATCGTGATTTGTCAGTGCCGAAGCCGAAGGCGGAGGCAAATAATTGATCTGCGAGACACTGACAAGTCACGATATTTTGCGATAACTGAGTTCAATAATTGTTTTATCATTCGGTCACCGAGTTTGTTTTTTGATAAATATCTTCGGGAGGCTACCATTTTCACGCGAGAGTGATCGCAAGATGGAGAAAAGCGTGGTTTCTCTTACGTATCAGCAGAATATTATTTGCAGCCCAATAAAGTTAGACGACATTGGGCAGGAGCAGACCATTATTTGTAGGCAGTTATTTGCAGGTCACGTGGCGGGCTCTCGGCCAATGAAAAGGGAGAACAATATGCATCGAATTATAATTAACATTTATTTAATGAGGCTAAGTATGATCTGGACAATAGTGGAGATCGAGGAGAGTGTTATTGGCCTAGGCCGATTAGCACGAGGCGAGATCTCCATAATTCTTCATACCATATGAAAGCCGAATCCAATAATGCAGATGTCTTCCAAATTTGGTCAACGCTAGCTGGTTACGAAGAAATAACCATGGGATTGGAGGCAATCAGAAACGAAGAAATTAGTTTGAATTTAAAATAATATACATCAGTCAGTCACCTGTTTTGACTAGTGCGTATTCAGAGGTATGCGAGTTGAAAAAAATGTATACGAACACCTAAGGCTATGTTTACACTATATCGGATAGCTCTTGCGCCGGCACGAAAACCATACCGGATGGCCCCCCCCCCCCCGGATTTTGGCTCGATTTCTGAAACAGAGGGAAGCTGCGCCGAGCCCGTAATCTTGAAAGTGGATCTTTACAGATCGGATAGGTTTTTGCAACTCTTCGCGGAAGTAAAAGTGTAGGAGCGAGGACCGGAACCCATTACATACATACAAACCTACATGCCGCTGCCCGTTAGAGAGCACCGGCCTGCTAAACTGAACTTGTCTTTCTTCCCTAAGGGAATGGTTCAAAAATTTACTTCAATAACCATATAAGCTTAAAAGCGGCTGGCAGGCATCTGTTTATACGATTGTCGGTTCGTGCGGCAAAAAAGTAAGTTAACGCAAGGCCTAAGTAACCCCATCGTAATTATTATATAAAGATTGAACAAAACGTGAACGTTCAAAGGGACCTGCTTCGAAATCGACTGTGCATTCGAATAGCCTTAAGTGTTTGCTTATTTTCAAATATTTAAATTGGCATTTCTCTATCAATTTTAGCTGTTTGAACCTTGAAAAAAGGAAATGGTTTAAACGTTACTATAGTTGACTCACGCAGGTCCCTTTGCACCTCCAGCGACGTCTCTCAAACTTATAACTTTCCCGTTTTTTTTTTCTGCGCGAACAGACGTCGATCTTTTCACATGTTTCCGCAAAAATTCCGACGAATTCGAACATGAAAAGAAACCAGACGATGAGGGAAAATATTGCTCGAGTTGACTTTTATCATGAGTTCGATTTTTTTAGGAATCGTTGGCCTCCAAAAGGACTTGTCACTTCTTACTACCAAACGTTTATATTCAAAATCAGGTGTCGTTAATGATAGGAAGTTTAGGGATAGAGTGGAAGAGGTTGACTAGATTCAGGGTTTGTCGACGGAGTTTAAAATCGACCTACTGTTTCACGAGGAAGACGGAAAGTTTACAGTTTTGGAGTCTATTATTTAAGCTAATGAATTTAACAAGCAGTCAAGAGTTAATTCATTTTAGGAGGCAATTATTTTAAGTTCATCAATTGAAGACGTAGTCAAGGGTTAATTCTGATCTAGTGGCAGCAGCTTTCAATACTCAACCAAATTCATATTGCAAACTTGTAACCTAAAATCGCTGGCTTTCTGTTCGAACCCTTAGCTGATAGGGTTTAGAAGTTCTTTGTAATGTTTTAACATTAAAAAAAAATATATAAAAAATATAAAATATAAAAAATATATAAAAAATATTCGGGCCTTTACAGTTTTTGAGCGAGTATACGTTAGGTACATTTAGTACTTTATGGCCGACACGAGCTTAAGAATGTAATTATCATTCGCATAGTAACATGCTACTTGAAGGCAACTTAAAACGTCAAGTAGCGTCAAATAGCATTTCTCGTCAAATTACCGTTCTGTTGCTTACAAAAGTATTTTAAGACAAACTTCCCTTCCTTTTTACTAATATTCTGAAGTGCTTTTTTATGGGGCATCCAAAAAGAATTAGTTGTAGCCGGTGTTTAGTGCTTCTTTGAAATCTGCCACTCCACCGCCTCTCCTCTGTACTTTAAATCAAATATAAAGACCCTTTTAAAGGGCTTCCAAAGACAGTACTCGTCAAGTTTGTTGAAAATTGTCACGTTACGCCCTCTCTAATGTTGATTCACGTATCACCCATTTGCAAATAAACGTAACATTACGAAACGAGAGGAGAAGTATACTTCGGGAGAAGATGGATAAGTTGGTTTATTAGAGGTTGCAAGCGTCGCAAAGGTAATCTAACCCCGTCAGTTTAGTATAAAAATGCCTGCGAATTAGCGCCGATATCCTTGTTCTGGGCCCCCAACAGACTCAACGTGCGTTTCCAATATCCCGTCAAGCTGATTGGTGAATTAACACTGGCTTATCGGCGCGTTCTTAAATCCTGGTACCCGGGGAGCCCAGAACAAGGATTATTTTGGCGCTGTTTCATTGACGGACTTACTATAGGAATTTGGTTCCGTCTGTGGCGCAGTCTAGTTGAGCAGACGTGACATGAGAAATCTTTAGTTTCAGTCTAGTGTTTCAACGAATAGTAGAGTGGAACTTGGAACTGGGAAGTAGGATTTGAGAAAAGAAATCTTTTTTTTCTAATATCTATCTGCTGGATAGGAATTTATCCACTGGATAGTGCTATCCATTTTTTGAACAACTGGGGCCTCTTATCTTATTACACAAAACAAGTTAGCCATTAATTCTAAGCAGGAAACAATTTGCATTATTTCCACGTACCCCTCCCCTAATACCTCTGTACCCCAAAATATAGCGTGACAGTATAACTTGACGTAACTGGAAATTACAAAAATTGTTGTCGTTCTACGAGTATAATGAGCTGATTTACACTAGACAGAAATACTGTATTATATGAAAACCAGAGGTATACTAAAACAGACAGTTAACTGCCCATTGATCCCGCCTGATCCAGGGGCCTCACTGACTGCACGGAGACTTTACTGCGCTTTTCACAAACATGCGAACTCTAAAGTTCAAAAGCCGCCTTCACAATTGTGTTTATCGCTGCCTTCAATCATATGGGTGTGTTCCTTTCGGCGAATCCAAAAAGGGATTTTTGATCCTAGATTTGCCAGATTTCGCGGTCGAAAGGAACGTGAAATCCGAAATTGGATTTGTAACCTTGGTAACCTTGTTACAATATGCAATATGCACGACAGCCTCTCAAAAAATGACGTGTTTTCTACTCTTTGACAAATTATGCGATTATACCGTGGAGGATTTAGTGGTCGGCAGTTCGAATAGCGACGATGGAAGATATAAAACAGACAAAGAAAGAAGCGCCTTAAAATTGAAAATTATCTAAAGAATGTCGGCTAGTTTGATCCAGTTCCATAACACGGATTTTTTTATGTAACACGATCGAGTGCATGTCTCGTCTACAAGCGAGTTTGTAGTTAGATAGCAGTCCATTTGTTACTTTTACTTATTTCTGATTTCAAGCAATCTTTAGAGACAAATGGTTAGTATATGGATATTTTAATGTACCAGGAACAATCTTCTAGTGTTTTCAGATATTTTGCGGCAAATGACAGCAACGAGGAAACTCTACGGCCTCTATGGGAATACTTCAACTGGAAATACCGCTGGATCATCTGACTAATTTCGGATCCACTGTGAATGAAACAGCGTAGATCACTAATCCGTTAATCTGGATTTGGATTCTTCGGATTTCAAATCCAATGAATCCTTTTTCAAAAAGGATTCACCAGATCAAAAATCCGGATTTGGATTTGCCGAAAGGAACGCGAAATCCGTTCTTAGATCTAAAATCCGTTTTTGGATTCACCGAAAGGAACACACCCATAATTACGATCAAAAGCAACGAACCTTGAAACAGAGAAACACACAAAACGGATCGAAATCCACAAATCACAAACTATGACCTTTTGAACCCGTGAAGTAGAGTTTTGTTTCCTAAGAGGTCCGTTAAGATGATTGACACCAGCGAAAAACGCAATCGTCGGTTGGCTTCTGAACTTCGGAATTCGCATGTTTGTGAAAAGTGCGATCCTAATTTGCGGTCCACAGTCTACAAGAAAACGCATTATTTTTTCCACAAGAAGAAAAATATTCAGTTTTAAGATTTCCTCACGGTATTTTTCTCTAACTTAAAGGAATAAAATCCTTTGCATTTTGAGACCTAAAAAAGTTTCAAGACTTCTCGCTCGCATGTTGCTTTCACCAGCACGCACTTCAAACAATGTAAATAGATGAAACGATCGATAACATATTTTTTACCTGATACCGATGCGAGTTAAAAATTCGCTCCAGTTCTGTTTGTCTCACCCAAGACTAACTTTTCTTCATGGAAGATAACTATGCCGCTTTATAACTCGTCCGAAGTTTTTGTGCCAGCTAAACAATATGGAAACACTATTCACAGTGACTCCTTGGATATTAAAAAGACTGAACGTGACGCACTATTATGCCTTTGTTTACTTCTGATCACATCTTCAAGCGAAGTCTCTCTTTTCAAGCGATTCATCTCAATGCACAATAATTGATCCTTATATTAGTTAAAACCCTATGGTTCATTTATATTAATGCTGTTTTTGCCCCTCACATTGACTGTGTTCGTTCGTATACAAAACACCTTTACGAAAATAAAGGTCGTATAAGTCATGTGTGTTATGTTTCGAGATAAATGGATTATACGCTTTTTTAAGTTTCCATTTTGCGGTGATTTCAGTTAACATCTTCATAAAATGGTAAAAGAAATATCAAGAGACATCACGAGAGCTAAAAAACTTTCAAAGGCATGTTTCTGAAACTCGCTAATGCTGACATCAATATAGCGTGCTTGCTGAATGGGCGAAAACACAGAATTGTGATCACAAGATCATGTACAAATTTAATGATAAAAGCTTAGCAAGATACAAATACAAACAAAAGCAAACCCCCTGAAACCTCGACGTGGGCTACACTTGTATGCTCTACTCAGTCACCAAACCTTGTCAGTAATAGCTCCTATTTTCCTCAAGTCGCTCTCTGTGAAGCTCCCGGATGGGATGTTCCCGTGAAGCTTTAAACTTGTGCATTGTGCGCGAAATTCTCAGGGTCCCTATTTTTGACCGTGTCTTCTTTATCCTCAGTATCCGAAATTTAGACCTCCAAAGTGGCGTGTGTTTCATTAAATAGAAGGAAATATTTAAAGGAAAAGCCAGTCTTCTAACATGGCAAAGTTGTCACGTCCCTCGCTCATAGACGTGCGTAGTGCCATTCATCGGCAACTGAATTGTTCGCTTCACTGACTACGAAGGCTTACAATCAAGTCATCAGCCATAGTGTCGTCAACTGGTGAAATACCTTGCTCATAAATTGTGCTTCTTAATTGCTCATGTACTACATCGATCGATAATCCTCTCTTTGAGTTCACGAAGCGGCCACGGCGTTCCAAACCTGACGCTCACAGTCATCTTTTAGTGTGAACCTACCGTGAACAGCGTGTCGGTTTGAATGCAACGCGAGCATTTCTCTGAGTTTCCCAGCGCCAACATCATCTAACTGACTTAAACTCGAACAATAAAAAAATTATAGAGCGACTCCCATGATCGAATCGCTTCGAACAACGCAAATAGCCTTCTTCAGGTTCGCAACGCTTTGTGGGTTTTTCAGGGGGAGCGCAGACGAGGTACAAAAAGTGTCCGTGCAGGGTTCGTGCAAGAGAAACTCATATGAAACCATTTGTGAGAACATCATTTCTCGGTACCAGACCCTCGTGTCTTCCCTCCCCCGGGCGACCACTTTTTGACACCGACGACCGAAAGCCCATTTTATGACTGGGCGCACAGGCAGCCCAGTAAAAAGGGAAGACACGGTTTTCTCTAAAACTTATTTTATTGGTCTCTCTCTCCTGTGCCCTTTGGTCAGAGATATACCTTAAGTTCGATTCATTAATTGCTTGCTTTGTCTAGAGGACACTGAATGGACACCTTAGAGCGACCACCTTAACTGAATCCCCATATAGACCAGGCAACAGTTCATCAAAAGGTGGATAACGCTATCCGCCGTGTAAATCTCTATCCATTGGATAACGCAGTTGGTTTACCTGACACTTATCAACGGGATAGTGATTTACCCAGTGGCTAGCGCTATCCACATTTTTAACAACTAGGGTCTGGTCAGGAAAAATCATGCAAAAAAGGTACTCACAAAAGATATTTAAGTTTATACAATCATTCCATCAATTACTTATAGTCTGCTTAGAACGCTTTGAGAAATGCTCTATATTGCTATTCAAAGTCAAGACCACATCATGCTAGAGCATGTAGCGGACTTATTTAAAAGCTTCCAGCTGGGTTTAGATCACGAAAATCAACCATTTTACACAACGATAGAAATAGTGTTCATTTTATAACAGTGCAATCTAAGTACTATTTTTATCTTGCTTGGCATTAAATTTCCGAGGGAGCTGCACCCAGAAATCAGGCTTTGGCACGTAACTCCATTCTGCATAAAAAATAGATAAATGAAAAAATTTTCAAGAATTCAAATGGAAAGGACCATTTCGGTTCAGTCCCTCCTGAATATTTGGAACAGCCTTTAAAGGTGCACTTTGACCGGTCCTACCGGTAGAACCGAAATGCGTCTTTCCATTTTACAAAGTTGTTGTCCCCAAAACCTCTTCTCAGTCCTGCTTACAAGTACAATATAGCGGATATTGGTGGATCTCTGTTAGAATCCTCCATCTGTGAGTAAACAACAGCAGACTTCTGCTTTGTTAAAGCATCAGTGCTCAACAATCACAGGTAAATGATTTTATAATGATGTGTTAAGGGAGTCGACCATTTCTCCCATGATTTCTGTTTTATTTTGGTTTCGTTGTGTTGGGTGCGAATCAAACGTGCGTCCTAAGGTCAGGTCTGTGCAACCGGAATGTATCTTTCTTCTGAGCTTTCTAGTGGAAAGCGCCCATAATTTTCTAACCTCCCCTCAATAATAATAATAATAATAATAATAATAACAATAATAATAATAATAATAATAATAATAATAATAACGTGAATATTTATACAGGATAACCTATCAGTTCTAATAAAAAAACTGTTATCGAAAGGGTCCTGTAATTATCTCATAAATAGCTAAAATATAAAGAAGAAAATCGAAAGAGGAAAATAGAATAAAATAACACTAAGAAATCTAAGATTCAAAACTCAAAATCTGTAAAAATTATCGACTTATAAGACTGAAAAGAGTTTTGAATTATGGAATATACTATTGAAAACTCTTTTAATTACTCTTAAAAAGAAACCTAAAATTTGAATTTCTTAAATGCCGAGGTAAAGAAATGGACAACAATATCCGAAAGGTTTGGTCATCTTGGTTCTCGTCGACCTTAAGTGTCTCTTCCGACATCTACGCGTATTAACAAACTTATGGTAGCCGTGATAATGACTATGGATATGGTTTTTTTTTTGCAACCACGTGTACGGAGTAATGGAAAGGATGGTGTAAAAATAGCTAATCGGAATATCCATAAATTTCAAATGATTGCTGGGCGAAATTTTCTGACTTTCGTTATGAAAGAGCTGGAATAATTAAGGTGCTAATATAACGTTAAAAAAATTGGCGCCAGTTATTTATCCATCTGTCCCCTTGTTAATGGTAAAAATTAGCCAGTCAGTCAGCGCGCGAGGAATCACTCAGTTATTGTAAAAATACACCATTAGAGTATGCTATTTTATTAGGCTGCTTGGATGAGGCTGGTGCACCTATGCCAAGTGAGTAGCAAGTCTCAAGTGACATCACAAAGAACACAAACAATGATCCCTGGCCCTCACACAATGACATTATTAACGAAACTTCACACAATAGGACGACAAAATAGTGGATATGTCTACTTGGTTTTTCGAGCATCACCCTTGGCTGCAAAATAGAAATACTTACACATTATTTATAAACGATTCCAATGTCAAGACCTGTACACCCTTCAGCTGGATTCTTTGAAACAGCCATCATCACACGCGCATTTTGACGAAAATGTCATACTCTGCGAACAAACAGATCAATTAGGTAAAGTTTCGACACATGTTGAATGCACAATGTTTAAATGTCCGAAAATTAAAGTACAGTTTAAAAGAGTAAATTGTTGTCTGTAAACAAATTCAACTACCGTTGAAGCCAGCCAGCATAAGGAACAAGTCTGCTTTCCTTATTTTATCTAAGACATGTTCAACCACCCAAATACTTTATATCTTCTTTACAGCTAACTGAGGTATGAATGAAAGATTAAAAAGTTTGATTCAACATTAAAACTTATGTTTCAGCAGAGCCAATCGTATAAATTACAAAGTTTTTCGTTGACAGTTATTATCATTATTTTAAAGAAGAAATAATATTGGACCTAAAACAGGCTCTTGAGGAATACCACACGTTATCTGTACTTTTTTGTGAGATATTTTGACCAATCTGGGTGGTCTGTAACCTACCTTGAAGATAAGACGCAAATCATTTGTTGTTCTAACTTTTGACTTTTGTTGTTTTAACTTTTGATGGTGTGACCATTCAAATACAGTAATCTCTATCTCGCCTGTCCTATTTATTTTCAGTGCTTAACAATATGAAATTTGAGATTTTTCTCAGATTTTAACTTAGAGAAAACTTTGGGAGTGAAGGTATTTCGCCTTTTAAAAGGTCGTTTTAATCATAGGCAGTACTCGAATAGCCATGAGCAAATCCCAGTGTCGTTATGTTGGAAAAACATTTGCCCAAAACACAGTCGGAAACAAGAGAGAATGTGAAAAGAGAAGGAATCATTTTCTTTTGATTGAAAATAAAAGTAAGGCAAATACAGCTGTAGAACCATAGTTCTTACGTATTCTGATGTTAAGGGAGTGTAAACTTCTGTAACACCGTCTGTGTAGCCTGGAAATTTGCCAGGATCACATTTTAGAGTAATTTTGAAGGTCCTGAAAAAAAAAATTAGAAAGGATAGGCATCATTTTGTAAGTGATTGTCGTCATTAAAGTGAGTGTTTCGAGCGCTAGCGTTTTGGTAAATCCCTTTGTGTGCCACGTCTTCTTTCAGCTTTAATAGAGAAGAGAAGTGACGAAGTCACAAAAACTAAATTCGTGAAATTATGGGATAGGTTGGGATATCCAGAAAAAAACAAGATGAAAAATGTTCACTAGCTAAAAATTAGTCAGTTGGTGCAAATTGGTGGGGATATATAAGCATCGGTTAGCTCTGATGACTCCATGTTCTGTCGCACTTTGTAATACCTGCCGCACTTGTAATAAAAAGCTGTCGCACTTTGTAATAACAGAAAATCACACTTTGCAAAAAAAGAAGCTGTCGCACTTTGTAATGACACTTGTCGCATTTTGTTAGAAACTTGAAATGGATGGTCGATGGACAAGTAAACCAATAAGTATCATCATCGACAACAACAACGACAACAACAACAATAATAACAAAATAATAATAATAATAATGATAATAACAATAATAACAATAATTATAAAAATAATTCACTGAACGGTTTTCAGCACCAATTTCTCATGTGGAAAGTGTTCACATCAACTGCGGCCTTCCGGCTTGTAGAGAAGAGAGAGAGAGACGTAGAGACGTAGTTGCAAGGTCTCATTCCTTTCCGAGCCCCGCCGCCAGAGCGTCCCGGAGAGCTCGCTCACAGGCTATCAAATTCTTTTCACAGCTCGTCAAAGCCCTCAATTACGTTTTCTCTCAATATAGTGGTCTTCTCTTCAAAATCGCCCCCTCCCTCTGGTTAGGGTGTGGTAAAGGTGATTTTTTTTTATAAAACCATCAAACTTTGGGTTGCAATTTTGGGTTAATTTCGCTCCTTTTATGGAATTTTTAATTGTTTAAGGTGGCTCCGATATTAAAGCACGTGCATTGATCTAAGACGAACTTTAGGTCATTACTTTTTCGTTTTCAACGTAATGGTTGAGAAACTTTGTAGTCAGTGGTAAGAGAGACAAAAGGGAGTAAAGTTACTTGTCTAAGAAAACCACGCGGGGAGTAGGTTGTGAGGTAAATATACCGCAGAAATCATGTAACAGGAGAGGGGCAGGCAAGTTTTATGAGGACCAAACAAAATTTTAGCGCTTCAAATGAACAAACAACGTTTTCATGCAACCTTAACAATAAGCAGAATTTGATATAATTTCTTGAATAAAGGTTGTGCTTATATACTTTTTATCCTATAGGCTTTCCTTTTTAAAGAGGCAGAAGACTAACCAAATTTATTATATGACAAATTCGCCACCCCCGGGAGGACTTTTGATGAGTAGGACCTGGGGATGGGAACGCTTGGAACAGACTGAGCCATAAATAACCAAAATCAGTCGCTTACCATCAATTAACCAAATCACGTCTTCAGTGGTTTTTAAAAGTATATGTTATTAAACGCAGGCCGATTTACAAGAACTCTAACCTACCTTTTGTATCCGGTTGCGTCAACGACAGGCTCGTAATTCATGACTGTATTTCCTTCGCTGTTTACTTCAAAACTACCAACAGTGGCACCGCATGGAATGGTTTTCTCCGGAGACAAAGAAAACTTTTGGCAGATCTTAAAAGCAAATAAAGGGGAAGCTATTAGGGGACCGTGTCGCTCAACTGTATTTCTGCCCTTCAAATTTTGACCAATAAATAATCTTGTGATACATGTAAATGAAACATGCTTTCACCGCAAGCAGGTACAGTTTTGCTTAATACCTTCTTAAGTATGCACAAAAAGTGTTTTAACTACTTCGAGTTAAATTGGAAGTTTATTTGCAAGAGAGTGATTTTTAAAAAATATCAACATTGCTTTAGCCCGAACCGCGAATGGATTTTGAGCGTTTAAAAAAAAATAATAAAAAAAATAAAATAATAATAATAATAAAAAAAACGCCACAGTCAGCATTAACTTGCGTAGCTGGCGGGATCAGGGTTGACGTTTCCCATTCTTCTCGCGGCCTATAGCAAAATTCGTTCCATTGGTGCTTTCCGCTTGAAGGTTCCACCAGCTACGCAGGCTCTCAGCGTATCGAATCGCTGTCTGCAGATCCTGAGTTCGAGAACTGCTCTGACCAACAGCAAGCTTAATTTTTTCTCTCAGTCGTTCCGAGTTCAATTCTTCGGACGGAGAACATCTACTGCACTTGGGTACGTTAGTGCTGCCCCACCTACAGTCCTCACTCCTTTTACTTATAAATCGTAAGATTTGGGCCAGCTGCCTAATGACTTTTGTATCTGCTTAATTGTGCCATTTACTGCTATATAGCCTTTAAAACACTTACCAAAAGGTCAATGCAGCTACTACCTTCGCTAAACCTTGTGCAAGGATTCCAGTCAAACACAAGTGTTGTACGATAGGGCGCCTTAGTTGGAATTCCTTTGAAACTTTAAAAAGAAATAAAAGCAATCAATCCCACAACAAAACTTTCACCCCTATAAATAATGTCCAGTTCTACTACACCACTTGTCTACGGTGGGGCTGGCGCTTAAAGAAGTTCTTTAGCACTCGCCTTGGTAATAACCGGCGATGTCAGTGATCGCAAATGAGATCTTTCGCCTGGGGCTATGCAATGCTTATGAGAATGAAACAGCTGTCCATGGCTACCACCACATCGTTGATACCTTTGGTACCGGGTGCTTTGCCGAGGTATAGTTCTCATTTAAGACTGAAATGAAAAGTTCTCTATTTGATTGGGTATACATTCATTACCCTTTTCCCTAAAAAATACTGTCAATCAAAAAGGTAGAAACCCATTGAATTTTCTGCGGTATGCAATAGGTCGTATTCACACACATGCCCTCACAAAATTCAAAATTCCCACATGTATCAGGGCATGCATTAGTCCAGTTAAAATTAATACCTATCTTTTCTCGTTTCAAAAGGGTAACTTGCTTATTTACATTTTTACTCATATTGGTGGAATTGATGCTATCCATATTTTCTTGTTTATAACATCTGAAAATAACCAGCCCCCCCCCCCCTCCCCTCAAAAGTCAATTGATCGTCTCAATCGCACAGAAAATGTAGACACAACCCCTTCTGGTCTATGCGTCCGCCATTTTGTCTTTTTTTGGTCGGAGACGACTTGCTACTGAATAAAAACTTGATTGGCTATCCCACAGGCAGCCCAGGGTTAACTAAGCTGAATCGGCTTACGTGCAAGGACTCAAGTCTGGGCTTGATTACATGCATTGCGTTTCCATGCAGATTTGGAGGAGCTTAGGTTTCGGAACTTTGATTTCTATATCCTATCATCGTGACTAAACTGGCCCACAAAACATGTCTATAGCGGCACATAGGCCAAAATGACAATGTTACCCCCCGGGTTCACTTCCGGAAAGTTGACCATTTGTAATACATAAATCCATTGAGCTTGCGAACCCAATTTGAAACGGAGCCACTTTGAGAATACTACTAGATATTACTGATGGGTGTTCACTGACCTACATAAGTAATGTGGTGATTTCTTTCTTAAATTTGCGCTTACTCACTCGTGGAAGAAAAAACGTTTAGTTGCTATAAGATGTACTCACGCAGGTCCACTAGGTCCATCGATTTCCCTCAGGCTGATAACTTTCCCGTTGCTTTTTCGGCATGAGCAGTTGTCGATCTTTTCACATGTTTCCGCGAGAATCCAGCCGAATTGTAACACAAAAAGAAACGATACAAATAGGGAAAGTTTTGCTGCACTGTTATGTTTCCTCTCCATCGAGTAAGAGTTTATAAAAGAAAAATAGTTTAATATAATCTTGCATACGTGACCCGAGTTTGTTGAGTAGCGCAGCCTGGTCTGTTTCACTATACCGGGGAAAACCCGATCGTCTGGAAAAGCCGGATCGGAACAAGTTCAAGGAAACTGGGAATGTTTCTTACAGGTTTTAGTAGGTTCCACGATTTTTGGGCTTTTACTGTGGTTAAAATAGTATAGAACGCTTCATGAGAATGGCCGAATAAGCAAGGGCAAAATTATTCCAATATTTTGTTTAGGAAGAACATTTTGCTATTCTGATGAAAACACATGAAAACAGCGAAAAGCTTGATTTTTCCACGACAAATGAAACTAAATAATAACTTTCGGATAATTGACTTAAGCAACTCGAATGAGACATATACGGCCTTATCTGAAAAAAGGTGACTTATTTCAAGTTTTATAAAGATCTATAAAGGCGAGCGAATTCGACAACAAAGTATCAAATTTTTCGTTTTGGGTGCCATTCATGATTTTTGGAGTTTTTCAGATTTTAGCTACAGGTTTTTGATATTGAAACCTAGAAAAAGTGGATGCCGGAAGCGATCACTCATCCCTGAGAAACGCGCCTAAGGTTTTTTCTGTCTGATAGTCGGCACTATTGTGGTCATTCAAAGAAAATTGTGTTTGCTTCTAACACAAAGATTAGAAGTGCCTTTAATTTGTAAATGCCAGAAAAAGGAAAAAAAATCCCCGACGAAATTATTGGTGGTGCTGTAGCCTACACAACCCCATTTCCGATTTGCCTTAAGCCTTTGTTTCAAAACGAGGCTAAGCACGAAGCTATTGATATGAAACTGATTTTTTATTCTCATGGAAATGAAACTCATTTTCCCAACAAAGGTTTTGCACTCAGTTAAGTTATAGCCTCAATTTGAAAGTGAGAGTTTTTGGAACTCGGAAATGGCCTATTGAACTCGTTTTCAGACATTACCATTTGAAAAGCATGTAGCTTCAAAGTAAAAGGTATTTGTCCAACAAGCAATTCTCTTACAAATGCTTTAAACTCCTCCATTTCACTAGGAGAAAGGTCGCATCTATCAAACCACGTTGTACAAAAAAGCCACGAAACAAGCTTAACTTGACGCTTCCGGTTCAAATTCCCCACCCCACGTGGGCAAAGGCGACATTCCCCACTCCTCTGGGTTCAAATGATGGTCAAATGCCCGGGATTTGCCTGGGGCGGGAGATGCTGAATTTTCCTACCGGGGCCGTCACAAGCTCGTCACGCAAGACTGCTCCGGCTCCACTAGACTAAATTGTAGTAGTTTGCCCACGAAGCACTAGGACTTATTGAGAACTCGTTTTAATCGTGTCCGTGCGTTCCAGATCGAATTGGAATTTGGAAGTGTTGGTTTTTGAGGCGAGAAGAAAACTAAGGTACCCAGAGAAAAACCTCTCGGAGCAAGGGAGAGAACCAGCAACAATCTCAAACCACATATGGCGTCGACTCAGGGATTCATTTGGTGGGAGGCGAGTGCTCTCACCACTGCGCCACCCTTGCTTGCGGCGGCTCGTGATTCTCGTGATTCTCCTGTGGCCACTCGACGCATGGACCAACTCTTACTGATATTTCAGCTGATTCACAGGATTGAATTATTCGCGATTCTCGTGATTCTCGTATGGCTCACGAATTTCTTCTGGCACACAGTGTATCAGCTGATTTCCGGGCTGCTGCTGACAAAAAGGCGAACAGGGCAGCTGACAGGGGAGGTTGGTGGAAGAGCTGACTGATCGCGATCTGAGCTCTGAAATGTCTTTTGGTTATGATGAGGACTTTGTGAGTCCTATTGACGAAGATCTGCAGTGTTCAATTTGTTATCTGGCTTTGCGAGAACCGGTTCTCACCAGATGTGGCCACAGATTCTGTAGGCAATGTCTCGACCGACACATGGCGAGGTTTGTCTCTTCTTTTTATTTTCGAAAATAACGTTTTCTCACTAAGGTAGTTTCCCACTTAAGTGTCTTAATAGATATAAAATTAGTAGTAAATTGTGCTTGTGTCGTAAGCTTAAACTTATATGGGGGCAAATGCAGCAGAAATGTCTGTTAATATGGTTTCAACCCTCAATTTTACGTTTTAATGACTCCGTTAACCTTTTTCATTCATTCAGGTTAGAAGACAAAAGAAATTGACGTTGTTAACTTGACTTATTTATAACACCATATAACACCAACGGGGATAGGGTCAGCCAGTTAAATTTCTATGAAAGAATAAATAATTTTTGGGCTGCAAACATAAAATAGTTCTGAATTAAACCTCAATTTTGTGCACTGAAGCTATATATGAGGCTGATCAATCACTCGATTGACTGGATATTTATAATGGCTGTACCAAAATCTTCCTGGATATTGTGTGCATGAAGTTTGGCAAACTTGATCAGTAAATTTACTAAGTTAGTGAATTGAAAATCTAGAGCAGAATACCTCATACCTAGTGAACAATATTATGTCCTGTTTCAGAAAGGGATGTCGTTTAAATTGTGATTTTCCTTAGCCTGCATAGCAGGTGGCTTGTTTCTTTGTTTTTCATTGTGTTTTCCATTTCTGTTTGAGAGTAGTAGCCAGTAGCAGCACTCAGGGGCAGATCTATGGGGAGGGTGCAGGGGGTGCACACCCCCCCCCCCAAGATATGACCTGCGGTTTTCTAATACAACTGGTATTCTGCAAAAAAAAAAACTATGTGGTTTATTGGTGTTGAATTAGAGCAAGAGACGAGTGCACCCCCTCCTAAAAAAAATCCTGGATCCGCCCCTGGCACTGTTTACATAGATGTCAACTAACCCCTATCAGGCTATGAGTAACGTCTGTGAAGCAACACCGATTAAATCCTTGTTCTGGGACCCCAATGGACTCAACAAATTACTGGAAATGTGTTTTGAATTTCCCTCCCACCTGACTGGCAAATTGACAATGGCTTTTTGAACAGGCCAATCATGGTCTGTACCTCATATCCTGATACACAGCTGGTAGGGGCCCAGAACAACAATTTTGGTCCTGTTTCACAGATAGAATACTAGAAGTTTGGTTCTGTCAGTGGCGCAGGCAATGGATACAGCCACATAAAAACTGAACCAAGGTCAAATCAGAAAACAAGGAGAGAGGGGGTGAGGAAAAGAATGTTCTCTCTCCACCTTCTTTGACTTCTTTCTCTTACCCCCTTCCCAATCATTTTCTCATAATTTCGACTCCTTACTTTACAAAAAACCGAACAAAAAACACACTGATAAGCACTAGGCTATGAATTTCCTCTACCTGGTTCAAATTTGGAGTTGCAGGGGGTCACCCCACCAAAAACTATTTCTATATATCTTTGTATCACATTTATAATACTTTTCAAGTTCTTAAGACAGTGAGAGTTTTAATTTTAGCTGTATTTATGGTACATCCAGATAAGCAGAAATGATATTAAAAACTGTAGCCATTAAAAGTTAACAAATTAATGTTCTTTAATTTGCTGCTATCATGAAAAAGTATTGTCACAAGATATATAATCACCCCTTGGCTCAAATAAGCATTATTTTTGGATCGATCCTTTGCAATAGGTCCTTGTAATATTTTTTGCTGTTAAAATATCAAGAACACCTGTAGATTAAGAATTTTCATCGACAGGCAGAAAAGTCAACAACAAGTAGTCAACTGTCCTATTGACCGAGAGGGGCTTGCACACCGTAAGGTAAAATATCATTATGATTTTGTAGAACTATTTTAGGGTCATTTTTATTACATACCCAATGAAAAGCCATGTCGGAAACTCTCGAAAGCAACTGAGTTCTAGCCAATTACAGGCAAAGACGGTATGTTTTTCACACAAAGTAGTACATGCTTTCAGAATTATTATTACAAGCAATGTCTTTTATTGTGTGGGAATTAATATAGTACATCCCATCAAAAGGCACAGAGATGTGTGAGCTTTATTGCTCTAAGTTTCCTGTTTTTTATGGGTGCCTGCAATGCTCTTGTTTTGCTAGTTGCATTGGCTGCTATTCAATGATAACATTTGTTGACATTTTCTTGATATAATTTGGATTAATTATCTTCCAAATTTGCTGCACACTTGCCGGTTATGAATAATTAATTGTGGGATTTGAAGCAAGCAGAAATGGAATTTTGAATAAATAATAATAATACTTATTGGATATGATGTGTACATTCTGATTGTGCAGATGCTCTTATACATTTAAGTATTTCAAATAGATAATGTAAAATCAGTAAGTAAATCGATCTCTACAAGACTGAGAAAAATAATTTAGGCATTAAAAATGCAAGAAATGATCCAGGTCATTTTGGTAATATAAATCTGATTAAATTTTTGTAGGATATCTTCCCAGATAAAGCAACTGGGAGGAAGATTCTGTCCTTATTTATAAGATGTCCAAATACTGGATGTGATTGGACTGGTGAACTGAGAGAGAAAAAGGTGAGTGTAATTGGCATGATCTCCACTTGCACAGCCTCATGAGCTAGCTTCCATAGGAAATAAGCTCATCAAGCAACCACTAGGCTATAGTATACTTTGAATTCTTGTTAAGCCAACAAAAGAAGAGTAAAGTTTTTAATCAGAATTATTTAGGTTGACTAGGGTGGTAGGACCAGTGTAGTTAAATTTTTATCTGGTGGGTACATGAAAGAGTAGGTGGATGGGGCTGTAAGGGAAGTTGGAACATTGATAAGCAAATTACGCCCTTTTTTCAGGAAACCCTTCCTTTTTTTATTCATTATTTTAAAGCGAGATATTGGTGATTTTTATCTTAACCCCTTTACGGACAAAAATTTAATAACAGCTTGTACTTTGATTTTTTTTCAGAGAACGTTTTTCAATTTGGAATAAGTTATTTAGATTTAGGCTATGTTCACACTATGCATGTACTGGAAAGCTTTTTATAACGACACAAAAAGCTATCCAGTATAGTATGAACAACTATCCGATATGTGACTCTCAACTTTAGAGATCGGTGCAGTGCAGCAGTTCACTCTGTCACAGAAATCATGCCATTGTTAACCCTTTCACTGCCAAATTTAGCAAAAGCAAATTTCGACCAAATTTCAAAATTTAGTTTTGTGAAATTTTGAAAAAGACAATGCAATATTTGCTTGAATTAATTGATATGGCGAGCAAACAAGGCGACGGTTAAAACAAAAGTAAAGAAAAAGAAAAAGGTTATATAGCAAGTTGCTGGCCTAATCACATGATAAGATAATAAAATTATTAATATGCATATTTAATATTTTTAATCTCCACAGAACCACTTTGATCGTTGTAAACGGAAGCCCCTAAAATGTCCCAATGTCTGCGGTTCATTTATTGCTCGTAACAAAGTAGGTGCATCTGTACAATTGTAAAGAGTGATTTAGTTCATGATTTTGGGCCTAATTTTGCAGGTAAAAAATAGGTTCTGTATTCATGATCATGAGCTGTTCATTTGAAATCTTTTCAGATCGAGTCTCACGTTGAAAACGAGTGTCCGCTGACAGTTATCTCCTGTCCTTATGCTCTGATGGGCTGCACAGAAAAGGTCTGTACATTACGCACATTGTGGTTGTTTTATTTTAGAAAAAAAAGAAAGATATATTTCACCTCTGTGGATGCAGGCACCTACAACAAAAGACCTCGTCCATAATTCATAAAGAATTAACAAGAGAAATTTAAGTTTACAGTGAGTGTCAAAAACTGATAAAACCTGGCTGACTTTCTACTTTCAATCCGCCGCCAAACATTCTTCCTTTCCACCTCTAAGCCCCCCCCTCCTCCACTGCCAACAGTGGAAAAGACCTGTTGCCAATCGTCTTGGGAAATATAAAAACCCAAGAACCAGCGAAAAAAAATGGATAGATCTAGAAAAAGATTTTTTTAGCCACTCAGACTATGGAAAAGCTATCCGGTGTAATGTGAACACCAATCTGATGTGCCGTGACTCTCTAGCCTCAGTGACTATTAGTAGTATCAAATTTAAAAACACTCGGCTGTTCCTTGTGTTTTAAACTTATATTAGAACATTTCTAACTAATACTGGTGTAAGGCGTGCTGTTCGCTCAGTCCTCGGATAACTAACCCCTAAATTACAAAGCTGGGTTGGAGTGGCTCATATATGAGGGCTCTCAATAAACAAATGACTTTGAACACTTGACCTTCTACGAGGTATCTGTCAGCGCAAAGTGTTGCATAATACTCCATAGTTACTCGATAAAACTTCAAGCATCTAGGTGCTCGTTAGGAAAGCATGACGGTCTAATAATGACTCACCATGTATGATAACATTGCCCTTTATAAGTATGGAAATGTCCAGAGTAAAAACAAATCCAGAGGGATTTGTAAACATGAGGGGCACAATTTGGGCGGGGTTAGGGCTACCATTTGGTAGGAGTTCCGGTACGAAAGGAATCTTCTTACCAAAGCAACAAGGGTGATCGTCTCTTAACATGATATCTCTCACAGCTATTGTAAGCTCTGCAGCGCAACGCAACGTAATAAAAAGTTGTAAATTGCGATATACGCAATATCAGGTTAACTGCGCAATACAGTATCTCAGTATCTTATCCTGTATAACTCGAGCAGACCTTGGTCACGTGCTAGACAACGATAAGAATTTCAAAAGCATAAGTTTTATTTATTATATAGCTGAGTCTGTTTTCGCCATTCGATTGGTCAATTTGCGGTCCGTAACTTGCTATACGGACCAAAATTTTTAAAGAAAATGCTCATTTCGGAGCTCTAAATCTCTTTACCTCGGAAAAAAGGCTTAAATTGCCTAATTTCATGCCGCGCGGGAGCCTGGCACTACCGGATTTTCCCGGACTTTTTAAATTCCGGATTGAAAATGGCTTCCAAAATAAAAGGTAAAGCAAAGGTCATTGCGTATAGTTGAAACGATATTAAGAGCCAGATTACTTCAGAAAGTTAATATTCTAAAGCTAAGAACAGTTGTTTTACTGCTATAAAGAACCTCGATTAAACATTTCGAGAAAAGACAGATCTAATGGGAGACTTTCGCTACTTGGAAGTATTGGAAGGATTCCCGAATTGTTCGACAAAAATTTGAACAAAGAACCGTCGAGTTTAACTCTTTTTAAGGCGCTGGATCCGACCGAATATTGGGGAATGATAAAGGAGTGGGTGTACCTGTTTTTACAGACCGTAAAATAAAAACTACCAAAAAGCGAAACACGCCAGAGTGACCCGAGCGAAAGGGCAACATTGTATATTAGGTCGACAAGGCTTACAATAGATTTTCCCCCGTCGCTGTGTACGGTCTCAGTAGAAATCCTAAAGATCAGACCGGAAGCAATTCTCACTGAACATAGATAAAAGCAAGTATACTTCAGTCTTACTTGAGAGGCATTTCTCTTCCGGTAACACTGCTGTTCCTGTAATTTGGGCAATCAGCTTGTAATCACAATCAAGAATGTCACGTACATCTACCTTTTGGCTAGCATGCACTGAGTATAGACTAGTCCCCTATCTCCCTTCATGTGAACAACACTAGGTTTAACATACATAACGCCACAAAATTCACTACACTCAGTACCTTTCACGGACGACATTACTCTTTTCCGCGACAGGAATAATCCAGGTAAGCCTTTCTGTACTGCCCTTTTAAGTTTTGCACCAGCACACTTAGGCTACGATCGGTACGTGCACAATCACATCTGTGGTCTTTCCTGCAATGATCCTCTACTTTTCATACGCGGGTAGAATTAAACACAGGATCCTTTGCTGTAGAAACTTCATAATCATGTTTGGTTCGAGCGACCTGTTCATCGAACAGTTGCTTGCACTTGCTGAGTGTAGGCTCCTTAAGTTTAGCTTCAGGGCGTGGCAGAAATACTGCATCCTTTCCTTACTAAGTTTAGGCAGATTCTCCGAGGGAATATTGATCAATATTTCTTCGAAAAAGAATGCTTTCGTTCGAGTTTTTACTCCGACTATCCGCCATTTTGAAACTGGACTTTTTAAAAAGTCCGGGAAAATCCGGTAGTGCCAGCCCCCCGCGCGGTATGAAATTAGGCAATAAAGTTATAAGACGCCTGTCAACCTTGAAGACTCTGACGTTGACTTTGGCCTTCAACATTTTAAACTGTGTTTATTTGTGAACGAAGGCGATGAAGAAACTAACTCGTAATCTTATCGACGAGGATTCTGGTCAGTGTTTGAAAATTTTATCGTAGTACACAGTTAAGAAGACGAAAATCGACTGGCAGAACTTCGAGATGTTTTGCCTAAGAGAAAATGAGTAATTCCTTCAACAAATATGATAACAAACATACCTGTACTCGATCATCTTGACAAGCTTCTTTGCCATTTGCAGTGTTTTTTCAAAGATCAACGAAAGAAAGATAGAAGCGAGTTGGAGCCAGACACAATAATGTCCAGTTTTCAAAAGACTCCAGCGTCACACATTAACGAGTGAATACTTACAGTGCTCTCAGTTTCCACCGAATAAACTTTGAGATATGTATGTAAACCCTGAGGACTGGGATGTTGACTTTGCTTTTCCAAATTTTAACCTAACTTTGTTATAATGAGAAAGAGGCTGTTGCAGAAAGTGAATCGTAACCTTACCGAGGAAGAGAATTCTAGGCAGTGTTTGAAAATTTTAACGCAGATCACAATTGAAGACGAGAATGAACTGGCAGAAAGAGAGGTTTTCCCAAAACAATTAACGAGCGAATCCTTCGACAATGACAACAAACTTACCTTGAAAAGCTTCTTTGCCTTTTGCAGTGTGTTTTCACAAGGACAAACGTAAGAAAGATGAAAACGACTTCTACACAGACACAGTGTCCGGTTTCCAAAATACTCCCGCGTTACATTAAAGAGCTAAAACTTACAGTGTTCTTAGTTTTGACCGAATAAACTTTTTCAACATGGCGAATTTGTTTTTACTTTCTCGGAAAGCCTTTGTTGTGTGCTATTGTTTTCGTGCGCCAATAAAAACTTTCTTTTTTGACGCCTGTCAAATGACTGTCAAATCGTGCGTCCTTCACTTGTTTCCGGTCCCCCAAACAGGAAGAAGCCATATAATAAACAACTTATTAGCCTCGTTTTTTCGGTCTGTACTGTAAATTATGGATCCTCGTTTCTTTCCATCGATTTATGGCGCGCGAAATCGATGGAAAAAAACTCGGTCCGTAATTTACAGTACGGACCGAAAACTCGGCTGATAAGAGGTGTTATTTTTGCGATATACATGTAAGTTATTTCTAGTTTTGTTTATTTCTGTCAAAGAAACAGCACCTCCACACTCAAAATATGACACAGACTAATCGAAGTCGTTTGAGCGAAAGGCTACCCACGGGCTTAGCGCAGAGTTTGTGTTCCCTTTTTTTCGAGTGTTAAGGGGCTCAGGCCTGTTTCTCGAAACTCCCGGTAACTTTTCGCGCCCGAAATCAAATATTCAAATCAAACTGATATAAAGAATAAACGCTCTGGTCCTAGCCAGCAAATGTTAACCACAACAGCTTTCCGGGCCCGGTTATTATCGGGAAACGGGCCCCTTGTTTTAAAGGGCACTTCTATTCAAATTGTGAGCTTCCTGCTTTCGTGAGCGACACTATTGCTGACTCCAAAGATGGTCAATAACGGGATTTTCATCCTTAAAACAACATAAAAGGAGAGCAAACTTAACAAATTCCTCTGTAGTAACCAACAAAGATCCTTCATTTTTTGTGACCATCTTCTTTATTCTGATGATCTAAGTGCTTAGTAAAGCATTAAGCATTATCAGTTAAGCATTATTATAAGAACAACCTAGATTCTGGCCACGGGTCTCAATTAAAGCGTTAAGTTATTAATTCATTCTTATTCGTTTATAATCAGATTCAGCGAAACAAAGTTGAAGCTCATCTGCAGTCTACAGCGAGAATTCATCTGGCCTTAACGTGTTCAACGTTTAAGGAAACGATGGAGAAGCTTGATGTACTCCAGAAGCAAGTGGGAGAATTCAAAGAATCTAATATTGCTCTTAGCGAAACACTTGAAGCCACTAATTCGTTTGTCACTGCCAAGGTAGATGCCCTCGCGTCAAAGGTGGATGCGCAAAGTGGCGAACTGGCATCTTTTAATTCTGCTCTTAGGGCTCAAATTGATGCTGATAAGAGAGAGTGGAAAGCTGTCAATGTCGCTTTGATTTTTAAGGTGCATTCACAAGCAAAAGAGGTCGCGAGATTAACCAATGCGTCTCCATTTGTGTGGAAGATAACTGGTTTTAGCGACGTCTTAAAGTTGGCTAAGAATGGACGCACCAAAAGTATATTCACTGAATTCTACACCGGAAAACAAGGCTACAAGTTAAATTTACGCGTCGATCCAGATGGAGATCAAACAAAAAGGAACAGATATCTATCATTATATGTTTGCATTATGAAAGGCGATTACGATGCCATTCTTCCCTGGCCCTTTTGTGAGCAAGTTACTTTCAGTGTAATCGACCAACAACCTGATGCTGCACAGAGGAAAAATGTTGTTGTCGTCGTGAGGCCCAATGAAACGCCTGGTTTCTGTTGTCGGCCTTCCGTGGAACAAAACCCGAAGCTTTTTCAGTTTCGCCGGTTGATATCTCATAAGCTGCTAAAAACCCGGCGCTATGTTAAACACGACACGTTGTTTCTTCAGGTTGAAGTGGGACGCCATGACTCTGAGAGTCGTGATTCAAACTGAGATTCTGTGTAACTTTCTTTGAAAAATTTCCACTTAAAAGGGCTTTTAGCAGGTTACTACATGGAATCGCAGGTTCCTCATCTCACAACGTTTGAACACTAAGCATTATGCTAAACACAACACATTGTTTCACCAAGTTGAAATTGGTCCTCACGAATGTGGCGATTCGGAATCCAATTGAGCCCACTATTTTTCCCTTTTTATCAGTGTGATGAAACGTGTGCTTAGAATGACCGTACCTTTGATACCCATTAAATACTGTGAGGAATAGCACCAACGATCTTGACATGACGTTAGTTTGATTAAACTGACACAATCCTCTAAAAACCCTCAAAGTGATTGCTCTACGAGAGGAAAAACCAAAGTTGACAAAATTACAATGCCATCTCAAATTAAACAGGTAGCAGTTGTCAGTCAGATCCAGTCAAAGTCCATTTGGTTATCTAAGCGTCACGCGGTGATCACAAGCTCAACACTACACCTAGCAACGAGACTGGGTTTGTTTTACCTTTGCGTTGGTTGAGAGAGTGGCCCTAGTATCTTAGCCAAGATCACTCCGGACCCAAGGAAACCGTTGCGGATCGGTTTGCACACCACTGTTCTTTTCCATCAAACACTGTAGCTAGTTCGTGTCTCGTCAAAGAGCTCAAGTTGGGTCGTCTCGGCTCTCTTAAGAAATGTCACTCAGATTCAAATTTTGAGTTGAATTTTTGTCTATTTTAACTTTTCAGAGAGTCACTATTAAAATCTTCGCGTTAGTATATTATTTTAGTCTTAACTGAGTAATGTTTTTGGGTTGCGATGACATAGACGCAGGTTGTTTCTCGTGGCCACCGTCTAATATTATACTTCAGTACCGTCACTTTTATTTCCTTTCACTAGTGCGATATTCTGTGCTATGCCACTTGAAACCAATGTATACGAATATCTAATGGGTTTGTTCACACTATAGCGGATAGCTTTTACGCCGAAACGAAAACCAAACCGGATAGGGCTTCTGTTCACACATAAAAACGGTGATTTCTGTAAGTTTTCTGTGACGGAGCGAAGGTGCGCTGCGCCGATCTCGAAAATGGAAAGTGACATATCGGATGGGTTCTGTGCCACACTTTAGAGCAGTGTGATCAGGTATTCGGACCGTGGCGGAAGTGAATAAGTAGGGGCGCGCGAGGACTGGAATCCACTTAGACCTTAGTAATTATTCAGGGATGAAGACTGGAATTTAGTGAACCAAACTCTCTTGGCCAACCGCGCTGGCACGATGTTCGGGGTTATCGTTTATAAGCGTGGGAAAATGACATCAAAGCGAGTCGGGATTTACTTTTAATTAGCTTTTCGTCTGATCGGTTGAAAGGTGGCGCCAAATTTTAAAGTTGATTACGGCCCAACGTACATAAACGACCTAACATCTTGTTTGTCTGCGACATTCCCAAACTTATCTATTTTAATTTTGGCATTCTTTGGAACTTTTGTTATTCAGTGACATTTAAGTGTCTGGTTAATCTGAAATTCTTCCTGTCTACAGAAACATTGAAGAACTGGGTTAAGAGGTCAGAGGCATTCTCAATCAACTGCCACTGACCCGCGTGGCAGATGTCAAAAAGGGTGGCGAGGAGGGGAAAACGAGGGGATGTACATTTATGCTAACATGTTACTGATTGGTTTTATATCGTATAAAAGGTAATGAGAAATTCTGTAAACATCCAGGTTTTGAGAAGGTTCGTTCTTATTCTGCACGGAGTAGAAAATTCTTAACAAAAAACACTTTGCGCTCGTTTTGGAGAGGGCGGAAAATCTGAAATTTAGAAAAGAAAACAAACAAACAAACAAACAAACAAATTTTTAAACAAGAAATAACCTTGTCTTTAGGGGTATGCGCCAGAAATTTAAAAACTATATTGCTCTCTTTGTGGGGATCCGAAGTTGGGTAACACCTTCAATTCGCTTTCTCTGTGGTTATGCGAAATTCGGAAACATCTTTCGCTGTTAATTTGATAGTTTGTGTAAAACCACTGATTTACTCAAAACAAACTCGTGCTTCTAAGTGAAGAGATAATTCCTTCTTCTCAATTTTAGGACGATTTTAAGAATCCAACTGGTATTATTATTGGTATTTCCGCGCAAAGTGTGTATTTAATTTGTGCGCATTATTCAATCTTTTCAGAAGAAAGTTATAAAACCGTTAGGTCAAAATAAATTATTCCACTTAAAGTTAAGTTGCAAAAATTGTCCAATAGGTAATTTGCACTATGGCGTCATTTTACTCTCGGGGGCCGAGATTTAGTGGCCGTTGTTCGTATTAGAGAGAGTCCGTATTATAGAGGTTTAATTTTAAAGAAAACATATTAGTCTACGAAAACAGCCGTTTCTCCTCGCTCTTTGTTCGCCGTTGGGGACGTTTCGCGCGGAGGAACGGAACGTTTATTGCTTACCATGAACAGGAAAGTTTTTTTAGCGGCGTTTACATCCCAGTTACTGTTCTTAAATAATGGCCTTTTTATACTAAGGACGCATTATCCATCTTGACGAACTTGGGCAAACATTAGTAGTTCGTCTGGTTATGTGTCTCAAGTACAAAGACGTGCACAAGACGCATTATGCGTCCAGACGAACTACCTTTCGTAGTGTGTCGTTCAAGACGTATTTCAAAGGAAAGTTCGTCCAGACGCATAATGCGTCTTGTGCCCGTCTTTATACTTGAGACGCATAACCAGACGAACTATGAATGTTTGCCCAAGTTCGTCCAGACGAATAATTCGTCCTTACTATGAAAACGGCTAATTTTAATAACCGAAATAAGATCCAAAGTATCATGACGATCTTAAAAAGTCAGTGCTTAAGAAGATGCCTTTTCCTACGTTAAACTGAGGGATTTTTTCTTGATGTTGGATGTAAGGAAGTTGAATCTTCAGCGATTGTGTTAAGATAACACACGGTGTGTTTTATTGCTTCATCGATGGGGTATTAAACTGGAACAAACATTTGTAATCTGGAAATTTAAGCCGAAATTATTCAAAATCGTTCACTAAAACGGGAGTAACTAACACTGAATCGTGGGTCGTGGGTCGTGGGTACAAAGTCGTGGGTCGTGGGTGCAAAGTCGCGGGTCGTGGGTACCAGGTCGTGGGTAGCTGGTAGACTCACAAAAACCCGAAGAGTATAAGGGATCTTGAACAAGTCCCTCAGGGTAGTTTCTGAGTATAGGGGTGGGGTAGGTTAGCTATTTAACAATTATTCCACTCGTGCTTGTTGGATATGAGATGGTAAACGCGCCTCGTTGGCTATAATCATCTCATATCCAACAAGCACGAGTGGAATAATTGTTTTATTAAAAAGGCCCACAAAATCTCGTTGAATCTCCCCGACTTAATTTTGCTAGAACAAACCGGAAAAGACAAGGGACTTCCGCTATTCAAATGTCACACGTCTATCAAAACTGTCAACGCGCGAAAGGACTCGCCTGGACTGGATGAATGAAAAATCAAAACATTGTAGCGATGAACACTTAAACTCATCGAGATTCTAGGATTTTACACAGCAGGACAGCTAAAAAAACCTGGCAGATAATGTGAAGAAAAAGAACTTTTAGGTTACAGCCGTCGAAATAACTGTGAATTTGGATTTTCGGTGCAGTTACAAAAGTAAGAACAACGGAGAAAAACTATTACCTCGGTCGCTTGTTATGAAGTTGTTTGAAGCCACCAGCTGGTTTTGCTGAACGAGAAAAGAAGCTATACTGACGCCTCGATTGCTGTAGTGAATGGCTGCATAGCCTGTATTGTGGTTGCTTGTGATTTATATTCTTCATGTCGGATAAACAAGCCGCAGTTATCTATCGGCTAGTGACTCGGCGAGTGGCGTCGCAATCATGAAGAAACAACACTTGCCCTCTTTCGTAGCTGGTCAAGGCACTTTAGTTCCATGTATTTTCATGTGTTTTTCGATAAACTTTCAAACAAGCTCTTGTGGCTTTTTTGCTTGTTTTTTATTTTCCCGATGAAATTGCATTTTCTAGTATGCTAAGAAATAAATTAAAACGATTTGCTTCGGGTGCCATTTGCGGAAAAAAATCTCATTTAAACTGACGCGTACACCGACCATATATGGAGAGCATGATGTAATGGCTCATATACCATAATGGCTAAGCCAATCAAAACGCTAGAATTGAATTATCCAATGATTCAGTTTTTTATAATAGCTATTAGTGGGTGGACAGGCACTTCAAAAGTATTGAGTTAAAAAGGGAAGGACCATTTATAGAAAAGTGAGCTTGCCGAGTAGCATAAGGAAAAATTACTGTACTGACCTCATGTTATTAAAAAATCTGTTAGGAAGAAATAGAAATCTAACACCTTTAAGCTCGGAACTAACCACCCTCAGAGTTCTAGTGCGGATGCTCTAACCACTGGAGGCTCTATGGTAAGCAGGGTCGAAAATCAATTATTATTACACCAGGTCATACAGGACCTGAAACGGGGACTTACTGGACATTTTCAAGAAAAAAAAATGCAATGAAAATGTAACGAAACAAAAAAATTCCTTTTACTACTTTTAAAAAAGAACAAACAAGCAAACAAACAAACAAAAAAAAGGCAAAAACAAAACAAATCCCTGGTCTCGATTTCTAATGTCGGTGATCAACTCTGGCTCGGCTTCGTTCTTACGTACCGATCTTCCTTGCTGACGTTCTGATCTTCCGCTGTTTCTTCAACAACGTGCATTTGTGGTTTTCACCAAATCAGAAAAGGTAAGTGATTGTTACAGTACGTATGCATGATTTTGTATATTGGTAGTTTTTATCCAGCGAAATAAATCCGCGTATTTAATTCCACGAATACCATCAACGTTGCTTTTTGTTAATTCACCAGTAAGTGAGTAAACAGCGGCATCGTTCTCGAAAATAGCAAAACTAAATTGTCAGCATTTCAAACAAGTAGTGTCAACAGAGCAAAAATTTGCTTAATTATCGTTTAAACAAAATTGTTTTTCCTGCAGTCCGTCAAAATGAAAAAAGGTTGTTGATTTTGAAAGAACCTCGTATTTTTCCCAAGAAAAATTTTATAGATAAAATTTCATGAAATGACAGGAATTTTGTCCTGAATGTGAGACTTGATTTGATTTGGTTCTATCTTCGGTTCTCAATACAAGGATGGTTGTTAACGGTAAAATGTAGCAAGTTTTAATTAACTAAATAAGCGCATTTAAGGAAGAAAGATTTTTATCCAGCTTCCCGGAATTTTTAATGA